ATATATATATATATATAATATATTATATGTGTTATGCATTGTCTGCAACCACCTGTGCATAAGCTGTAATTCCTTTTTAAGAAGGTTTTGTTATCCCATAATTTGTAACTTTATAACAGACAGCAGCTAATTATTGTCTTAGGTCCTCAGCAGCTTGCCACTATAGACCTGTTTGCTTTAGTTGTCAAAAATGGTAAAACTATCAACACATAAATATTTAACTTGCTTGATAAACTGGCGTGTCCTTTTGCAGGGTACTGAAAGCTCAATCTGATCACAGGTCAAGGCATGAAGGTAACTGTTTTTTCTATTAAATTTGCATCCCTTGTGTTTTCTTTCTTTTACTTACGTCGTGATATACACTATGAGCTGACGGAATTCTTACTATTATGCATTTGTGGAATTAATATATCTAAATGTTTTGACACAGACGTTCATTCAGTTTAAGTTTCATGAGTTTTGTCTTTTGTTCTGGAAAATCAGTTTTCAATAAAGATTGTGTGCTTTTTACATCAAAACTAAACTCCTGTCGGGTATAAAATATATTAATGAATGCAGCTTTGTATTCATGAATACTTCATTAAATGTATTCAAATGCAAGCAGTGGAAATACCTGAATCTAATTTTGGTATCGGCCTCTTGCAATCCGTTGTAAAGCATGGTGGGAGAGAGGGAAGCAGCACAATGCTTGGGTGGTAAGGAGAAGCATGCTTATAGGGAGCAGAGTGACGCAGCTTATCAGTTTTCTGCTTCCTACTTACTCTGTGTAGTCACAGGCTAGGGGAGGGACAAAGTGTACTTACAGCGTATGATTAAAGAAAGATCCTGCAAGTACAGAGAGAGTACCTGTTGATCTACAAGAAATGCACTGAAGTCTTGGCTTGCAACATATAGCTTAGTGGTGTCAACCCTGGCCAGCTGTTGCTAAACTACTCATCCACTCGCTGCTCTCTATAGCATAAAGGCTAATCATTCTGTAGTCCAAGATAAAGATTAGGAGGGCTAAGTAGACTCTTTGAGATAACACGAAGTGTGCAGAGGACCCAGGATATCTCTGAATTTCTGGTAGGATCAACACGGTTTGCACCTATCAAAGAGATCTTACCAAATACTTGTAATGGTATATTTAAAGTCTGTTTGTAGAGCTTTGTAAAATTCAAAAGTGGATGGACAGAAGTAGAAATCCTGTGACAATTAAAATAACTTCCATATATGTATTTCATCTGTCATGTCTATTTTATCTGTGACTGGCTGTCACAGGAGGCTCGGCCTCTTGTGACAGCCAGTTGTTTGTAAATAACTGGACATAGCGTGCAGTTGTTTGTAAATAACTGGACATAGTAAGCTTGCTTACTTAGTTATAAATGAATGGGAAGTGATCTACATCACTTCTTGTTCATTCACGATTGCGGACATAGTAACTCATACTATATCCACAATGTATGAATGGACAGCAACACTCAGTATAGCGCCTTCTTGTTAATTCATAACCGAGGCTGCAGAAAAAGGGATTAAAAGAGAAATATCAGGGGTCTGTATAGACTCCTGATATTTCCCTAGAGCCCCCAGCAGTAAAGTAAAAAAGAAGAAAAATAAATGCAAATAAAAATAACATTTTTAAAAAGGTTAAAAAAAACAAACCCCATTTTTGGTTTCGGCCTGACCAATTTTTTTATTTTCGGTCTCAAAATTCAATTTCAGTGCATCCCCAGTTCTCATACTAATGAAAGAGTCTATTATTGTCTGTATTCCTTTGCTCCATACTGTGGGTCATTACCTGTATTCCTGAAACTCTACAACTCTGGAACTGAAAGACATTTTGCAACTGGTGCTTCAGTGCCTTAATCTTAGCCATTCAAAGCAGAATTTGTGACTGTTTATGTATTTCTTGTTTTTCACTCCTTAGTTACTCACTATTCAATGTGGCTCCTGGTTAGCTGGGCGCATTGTTGTTCTATGGTGAAATCTAGCCTTGCAGACAGCGATAATTTACAAGATTGGCTCAAAAAGTTAACTCTTCTTATTCCTGAGGTAAGATTTCAATATACATGGTGCACATCATTTTAGGTGAAACCTAGTTTGTGAAATTCAATAAAGCAATATAACTTTTTTTTTTTTTAAAAGACATTAAATGGGTCTTCTAAAAAAATATTTAGGTGTTAAAATGAATGTGGGTTTCTTGGGTTTATAAATAAAAAGTACTGTTTGTGAGACTATTGTATACCTCTGAGGGGGTCACCTCCTAACACAGCTCCCAGCTTAGAGCTGAACCCAGAATTATAACTTTCACATTTCATCTAGTAAAATCAGGATATGACAAACAGTATAAAAACTTTAATTCCCTGGCGTAACCATTGAGTACTGCTGCTGGCCCATGGACATGGACTTGTTTTGGCCCAAGACTTAAAGGACTTTTCATTATCTGCTTTTCCTAGGACTGGGAGCTATGGATAGGGCAGCACTCTGGGACACAACTAAATTATACATAATTGCTTGTGGACCTATTAAACTGAGTTTAAGCAATTATAGGCATTTTGTAACCGTAAAATAAAAGCAGGAATAAGCAAATCTGATTGAAAGAACATTTATAACATGGTTAAAGGTAACCTAGGTAGGAATTTGGGAGGTGCCATGGCTTACCTGTTTTTCAAGGGCTGTCACTCTTATCCTTCCATATTCCTATCATGACATGTTCCCTTTCCCTAAGTGGCACATTAGAACTTTCAGGAAAATAAAAAAATCACAAACTGACCATTGCCTTTTAAGCTGTTTAATATATGCGCAGTTTTAATTGAAGTGTAAAATGAAGTTCTGCTTTCTTTTGAAAGACGGCAGTTCGGCACGAATCTTGCAATGGTCTGTATAAGCTGTCCCTTTCTGGTCTGGATGGCGGAGACTCAATAAATCGATCATTCTTGCTTCTGGCTGCATCAACATTATTAAAGTTTCTTCCTGATGCTCAAGCACTAAAACCTATTCGGGTAAGTGGATATATTTTCAGTGTACCCGCTTTAGGTGCTGTTATCTTGCTTCATTTCTAGTACCTACTTCCCTGCAAGTGATACATAAATCATAAGTGTATTTCACCTCCCTCTAATATTGCTTATAACATCTTATGTTCTTCAGTTTGAAATTTCCTCTTTCATAACTACATTATTACTAGGGATGCACCGATACTGGTATTTCGGTATCGAGTACCGATATTTTGTTTTCGGTACTCGCCGATATCGAATACCGATACCGGAAGTCCTATTAAGGAAGCCAGGCGGTGTGCAAAGACTCTACACCCTGCTTCCAGATTAGCAGGGAAGCTGTCCCCATGCTTCTCGTCACTAGGTGACGAGAAAGCATGGAGCTGGCTTTCTGGCCAATCGGGAAGCCGGGCGCCGTGTAATGACGCGGTGCCTGGCTTCCTGATTGGCCAGGAAGCCGGCTCCATGCTCCCTCCTTACAAGTGCACATAAAAATAATTTATTACCCAATTTAGTAAAATATAAATGATGAGGTTGCACCATCATGTATCAAACATGTTAAGCTTCAAAATTGCTTGTACCTGTATAATGGCAAAAACAAAAATTCTCTATAAGCAACACTTGAAACGCTTTTACTGGTTATCAATTTAAAGGTGATTGTGGATGGCCCTAGAATTATTGCTCTCACTCTGGCATGCAGAGTGATACTCAATGTGTGGCATGTACGTTGTTTTAATACATGGGTGCACCTAATGCCCACTTGTGTTAGTACGTGGGAGACCATTATTTTATTTAACTTTTGTTTTTTAGAACTTGTTTTTTTGCCCTGCATTCCCCTGAAAAATAGCAGTGCGCTTCCTGACCAATGACTGTGCCTCAGCACTGCTGACCTTTTTATCCTACTAGCTGAATATCCGCATTGTGAGATCTAAGTTTGCACTGTTCATTGTCTCACGAGATTTGAAGTGAGCATTTGTGATGCGCTGCTCACTGTTCTCCTTGCTGGACTGAATTATGTTCCAAAGTACCTGCAGTGCAAGGATTTCCCTGCTTAGTTGGAACTAATCCTTTGCCCTCAATGCAGTGTCTATAGTACAAGTCCTCTTTCAGATTCACACACCACCTCTAAACTGACTGCTATGCTAGCTCATTGGTCAGAGACTCGGCAATGTGATTTATTGGCTAAAAAGCAGCCTAGAGTAGGAGAGACGACACAAAAAGATGCAGAGTTAAACTAGTAAATATAGGTTTGTCACCTAGCTCTGCAGTTGGGCAAAGGTTTGTGAATCACAAGACTGGCTGAATAGAATATAAAGAAACACTTTTGGATGACATTCTAAAACTATCTGTGTGGAATATCTTAATCATTTTGATGCAAGTGTTGATATTTAGTAATGCAATTTTTTGGTTTACTCCTTATCTTGTGAGCATTTGGTCGTTAGGAAACATTGTTACCCCTGCTATGATTTTTTTTCTTTTCTACTTACAGGTAGAGGACTATGAGGAAGAAACTATTCTACGACCTGGATGTAAAGAATATTTTTGGTTACTGTGTAAACTGATAGATAACATTCATGTCAAAGATGCCAGCCAGGTATAGTTGGAATAACATATTTAAAACACATGCACCAGGTAGATTTGTCTGAAGTGAATGTTTGGTCTGATTCACTGCTTTATACATATACTCCATAGTGTAGATCTGATATCTGTCTAACATTTCTGATTTTTTTTCCTTGGTACTAGATGTTAAGTGTTGTTTTTTCTTCCCTTTAATTAGACAACATTGCTTGATTTGGATGCGTTAGCAAGACATTTAGCCGACTGCATTCACAGGTATGACTGTTATTATAATTGCATGCGTAGCCACGTTTGTCTCACTTTTACAATAGCGGATGGTTGTTGCTGAAGTCAGATGCATTACTTTTATATTTCTCATTAATTCCAACACTATACTCCTGAATATTCCAGCATCCTTCTTTAAGTCTTCCACCTATCATTCAGGGCCTGTCACCATTAATGAGAACCTAAAGCCTTTAAAAAAACAGCCTACTTTACACCAAATGTCCTGAAGCTGGACCTAATGCTAAAAGCCCTGTAATACTTAAGTGTATCTAACCCCAAGAATAAAAATTTGATGTATTGCGTCTTACCAGTGTTGTGTGGTGACTGCATTAGTTTTCTTTTTTTCTAAGTACAATTTATGCAAATTCAGAAAAAAGCCTGTTGATCTTGATAAAAAAAATCCAGTATCTGTAACTTTCTGTATTCCAAATGAAATCTCAAACTAAGCTACCTTCTGTAAACCCCAAAACCCCTCCTCTCTATGCAGTGTAGATAAATAGAAAGGGTGGTGTTTGTAGCCTAAATCCGTAAATTAACCACTTGCTGACGGGGGTGTTTTATACCCCCTTCCTGACCAGGCCATTTTTCAGTATTCAGCGATGTGGTACTTTGACTGACATTTATTCCGTCATGCAACGCTGTACTGAAATACATTTTATAAAATTTTTGGGGGACAGATAGAGCTTTTTTTGGTGGCATTTAATCACCACTATTACTGTATAATGAAAAAAAGTACCAATAATTTTGAAAAAAACCTGTTCTCCCTACGTTATGTTATAAAACAGTTATTACCCTATTTTTTGGTAAAATATAAAAGACTGGGTCACGTCGGGTAAATGGACACCAAACATGTCAAGCTTTAAAATTGCGCACACCCGTTAAATCGCAAAAAACTACCATACTCAAAATTTACCATAGCCAACGCTTTAAAAGCTTTTACCGCTCATCAGTTTAGTGTTATCAGTGATTGATTGACCCTAGAATTATTGCTCTCATTCCGACGTTCGCTGCGATATGTACTGTATATGTACATGTGTACATAGGAAGCAAGTATGTACATGTGTACATAGGGAGCAATATGTACATGTGTACATAGGGAGCAAGCAAGCTCCCTATGTGATAGCCAATTTGCAGTGACGGGTCCTCTTTATGGAGACATCAGGGGTCTTAAGACCCCTAATGTCACCTAGGGACCCCCAGAGAAGCTGATGAAGCAGAGACCTGCTTCTCTCCGGTTTCTGTACCGGAGAGTGACGCTGAATGCAGGCAGTGATGTTCTACACATCACTTCCTGCATTCAGAAGAGCAGAAGAGATCAAACAGAGCTCATGTACTGAGCTCCATTTGATCTCTGGCCGCAGAGCTGCTGTGCTGGTCCCGGGCTCACACCGGGAACAGCGGAGCCCAGGATTGCCGGAAGCGACGGAGGGAGGGACACTACAGACGCCCGAACGCTTGTATGTAAACTGCCATCGCTGGCTGTTAACATTCAAAGCCGGTTTCCCGCCCGCCGCCTGGCGGCAGAACGGGATAGGACGTCTAAAGACGCCCACCCGCCCTCAAGAAGCCGCTGTCCGGCCGTTTAATTACAACGGCCGGACAGCAGGTAGTTAAAGGAAGTCTGTTATAAATATTTATATTATTATAATTTTTTTATATACATGTATTTTAGCCGAGAAATCCTGGACTACCAAGATGGTAATGTAGAAGATGATGGTATGACGGGGCTTACAACGGCCGGACAGCAGGTAGTTAAAGGAAGTCTGTTATAAATATTTATATTATTATAATTTTTTTATATACATGTATTTTAGCCGAGAAATCCTGGACTACCAAGATGGTAATGTAGAAGATGATGGTATGACGGGGCTTCTCAGACTTGCCACCAGTGTTATCAAACATAAGCCCCCTTTCAAATTTTCAAGGGAAGGGCAGGTATGGTTACTCATGTGTTTTTGTATCTAAATCTTTTCCCTTGCACATTTATCTTAAGTATAACAGGAACTTTGTTTTTCAGGAGTTCCTCAGAGATGTTTTCAATCTCCTTTTCATGCTACCCAGTCTTAAGGACAGACGGCAGCCAAAATGTAAATCTCATTCTTCCCGAGCTGCTGCATATGACCTTTTGGTGGAGATGGTGAAAGGTTCAGTGGAGAATTACAGGCTATTACACAACTGGGTTATGGCACAGCACATGCAGTGTAAGTGCCAGTCTGTTTCATCTTTTCAAGCTGTAATAAAGAATCTAGGAAAGGTAGATGCACTTGGTTTTACCAAAGACACGTTTCATTTTGGTGCTTTGGACCTGTGGTCACAGTGGTGCTTATTAGAATCTATATGGAATAGTTTGATTTGGCATTTATTTGGCACCCTAAAACATCACTGACAACATAAATTTGTGAACAACCAAGCCACAAAAGTTGGCGGAGTGGTAAGGGGTTGTCTTAATTTTGGATTAATGTCACCCAAAATATTTTAAACAGTATTAATCGTAAACATGGTCAGTATCTACATTAAGGCAATTAGTGATAGAAAATCTGTGTCCATTTGAAGATGGCACAGATCCAGTACATGTAACATGAAAGCTCGCAGTTGAGGCTTATCCTGACCCTCTTTGAGGTCTCCAGTCCAGAAAAGCTGATGGCAGACGCACAGGAAGAGTCTTCAGGAATATCAGTAGTCACAGCTCTTCCTCCTTTTCACTGTGCAGCAAGCCGTATTTGTTTACTGCTGTGGGGACTTCTAAGCACCACGTAGTACATCCCAGTCCTCCTTCCTATCTGGGAGTAGAATTATTGCCTTCAGTGCTTCTAGTACATCCAAGTCACTCTTAATATAACCCCGTAAACCTAATACAGCCTCCAAGAGACTTCTGCAATCCATGGCATTGTAAAGACAAAGCAGCTGGACTGGTAGTGGAATTGCTCAGCTATGGAAATAATTAGCATGTACACTTGGCATACAGGAAGCCAGCGGGCTTACCTAAGCAGTGCAGTTTATATTTAATCAGGTAACCCCTGCACGTGGTAAAGCTAAAGTAGATTGTGTAATGAGAACTTCTGTCAGGGATTTATTGCTATCTGTGTCTTTGCTGGCAAGATTCCCTTTAATAACCGAGCCAGTGGAAATGCTGTCGCTCTAGCTTGAATTGAGTAGAAATCTTCATTGTGCAGGCGGGCAGCAATAATATCTTGGCAGAGGTTTTAACCCTTACCTGCCCTTGATAAAAGCTTTGCCTGGAGTTCCACTTTCAAAGGGAATACATCATGAAACAAAATACCTATGTGAGAAGCTTCAAATAGAGGCTGTTGGGTTTCTTTTCTTGGCTGCATACTAGTTTTGCTTCATGGATTAGCTTTCTCACATCTTAAACTGCAGCTGTACTGCGTGGAAAGTTGTATACCAAAGCTAGCTGTAGTTCTTTTCTCCCCAGGGAATATTTGCACAGTGAGTTATTAAAAATGCTGCATTTTAGTTGAGGTTTTCAGCAACCATATAGGGATAAAAGGTACTAAGGTTAAAATCTAAATGTATATTTTACGTGCTTTCTAGGAAATGCAGTCACACATTGTTGCATATTTATGCTGCAACAGATTAGCCTCAGTGCTCTGTCGAATGATGTGCTTGATGAATGCATGTTGACAATGATTTCGGTAGAATAGTTGTTTTGGCCTGAAATCAAAATGTGTTATTTTGGTCAGTGTTTGTGTCTTAAGCTCACCACATATATTACCATTTGATTGTACAATCACTGTTGGATCTACCACAAAGAATGTAGTGCTAGAGTGTGACTGATTGTATACAGACCAGTTAGATAATTTAGGTAGGTCCTTTTTGTATACAGATCGATTGGATAATTCAAGTAGGTCCTTCATATTACAAAGGTTTGGAGGATCTAAAGTTGATTGCACAGCGATTGAATGGTCAGATAGGAATGTGTGTGGTGAGCCTTTAGGTAACAGCTGTCTGTCCACAATTTCTTATGATTGTTCATATTATACTGCAGCTTCTCATGCTCCTTACAAGTGGGACTACTGGCCACATGATGATGTGCGGGCTGAGTGCAGGTTTGTTGGACTCACAAATCTTGGAGCGACCTGTTATCTGGCATCTACCATTCAGCAGTTGTACATGATACCTGCGGCCAGGCAAGCCATCTTTACTGCTAAGGTATATGGATATAATATGTTTCTAGGTGGAATACAGAATTGTCAGTAAGCATCCCTAAACATGATTTAATGCAATAACAAACAGTGACTGGACCGTATTTTTATTAATAAGATAATTTGTGTGCTAAAATAATGATATATTAAAAGGGAAAAAATGTTTGCTGTACTAGAGTTTTTTTTTTTTGCACATTAAGCTTTACAGACTTGTTAAGCCCCCACCATTCTCTTTGGGAGAAGATCCCCTCCTGCTTCCTATTAGCAGTGCCCATGCAGTAGGCTGCAGTTAAAGACTGTTCTGCTTTGTATGAAATCAACTGTCCTGTCCAGCGCAAACCCCTCTGCAGGGCCGGTGCTAGGATTCTTGCCTACACAGGCAAGGTGCATTTTTGCGCGCCCCTCCCCGACCCCCCTGTAAAAACGGCATTTTGACAAGTACTTGTACTTGTCAAAATGCCCCGATGTTTGCGCTATGGTTTTTTTTCCCCACTTACCTTCGGCGCGGGAGAGCAGCGGCGAGTCAGCGCTGGTCCGGTCGGAGGAGCTCCAGGTGGGGTCCTAATTTAGCTGGCCGGCGACTGCCTGAGGTGCGCGCGTCGGGGGAAAAAAACAAAACGTAGTACAAGTACTTGTCAAAATGCCATGTTTCTTCTGCCCTCACCCTGCAGCGCCCTCAGGCGGCCGCCTGACTTGCCTTGCAGTAGCGCCGGGCCTGCCCCCCTGCGTTATTCAGGCCTTAGGTCAACATCCGCAGATTCTTGGGCAGTGAGAGTGAATCTTGAAGACTGCAGAATTCTATTTGTTTAAGGCGGGGGCTTATCGGGCCTTTACAGATAGACCGTGAACTACAGGCAGAGGGTTTTTTTTCTCTGCAGCTTCCTGCATAGGCGTCTGTACCGCCACTGCGGCTGCATAAGAAATCTAAGATATTGGAAAGTTTGTGCTTTGAGGCACCATATATTTATTTATAAATGTTTCAGGGAAACTTCAATTGGGTTTTAAGCTCAATAACCTAAAAAAAATATTTTTAAGTTGTACTTTATATTGACGAGATTACTGTTAACATTTACTTGCATTTGTCTTAATGTAGATTAATCTAAAGTATCAAATTGGTCGTCCAGCGCTTAAACAGATATTTCTAACTTCTCTTGCAGTATTCAGATGATATTAAACATAAAACCACCCTTCTAGAACTCCAGAAAATGTTTACTTATTTAATGGTAAGTCTCCTTGTTGCTCCAGTATTTTTATAAATTTGTCTTAAAATTCAAGCACTGTTGCTCTTACTTTTGGTGAACCGAGGTTACTTGTCCAGGACCTTGATACTAATATGGGCAGTATGAATACACAAAAGCCAGAACCTCTTCTGTGTATTTCAAGGGACTGTATTATGTAAATGTTGGTAGTTTATTAGTTTATTAGGAAAAAATTAGTTTATTAAGAAAAAATTACTGAAATTTGGGGGGGTGAAAAAGTTATTTTTTTTAACATTATTGGGAAACTATTATTACCCAATTTTTTGGTAAAATATAAAAAACGGGGTCACGTCGGGTAAATAGTCACCAAACATGTCGAGCCTTAAAATTGCGCAAAAAAATACCAAACCCAAAATAGGCCGTAGCCAACACTTTAGAAGCTTTTACCGCTCATCAGTTTAGTGTTATCAGTGATTAATGGCCCTAGAATTATTGCTCTAACTCCCGACATTCGCAACGATATGTGACATGTGTGGCGTAATAGGCGCAATCGTCATTTTCGCACTTATGCGCACCCAATGCATGCTTGCACGCATGTATGTATGGGTGGGGGCTTTAAAAAAACATTTTAATTCTTTTTCATGTGTGACTTTAATTTTTTATTTTTTTTTGCAACTTTAATTTTTTTTCCTAATTATAATTTTTTTTTTCTTCACTTAATGTTATTGTTATTACATAGGGGTCTAAGAAACCCCCCTATGTGATAGCAAAGATATGTGACAGGCCCACTTTATGGAGACATCAGGGGTCTCCAAGACCCCTAATGTCACCTAGGGACCCCCAAAGAGCACGATTGGCACGTTATACAAGCGATCCGCCGGCTCTATAGCTGGCGGATCGCTTGTATGTAAACCGGCATCGCTGCCTGTTTTTAATTTTGGCAGTTTCCCACCTCACGCGAGTGGGTGAGGCCCACAGGCCATCGAGTGGGTGAGGCCCACAGGCCATCTTTAGACGGCCACTCAGATCCAAGAAGCTCCCGGCCGTTTATTTTACAACGGCCGGCCTGGAGGCGGTTAACCATTATTGGCTACAGTCCTTATTTACCAGACTTTGGCTACTTGAACAAAATCTTTATGTAGAGAGCAGGCGACTGCTGGATTTGATCCACATTATATTGATTGTGTGGATCAGGTGACTGTTGCTTCTCATTTCGTATGTGATTTGTTTCTTGATGCTTGTTAAAACAGCAAAAAGTTTTCCTGGCACACTCGCAAGCTAGCATGTAAAAAAACTTGTCTCACCACTACCTCATCCAAAGAGGTTTGGATACACGTCTTCTGCAAAAAATGTGAAAGCCGCGCCGAGGCACCTCTTATAGTGCGGTCCTAACTCTAAACTATGAGAGTCTCCATCTTGGAGCACATGGGTCAGAAGATAAAATTGGGTGCAGGTATCCAAACCTCTGTTTTTAGCCCTAGTGGTGAGACAAGTTTTTTTACATGCTAGCTTGTGAGTCTGCCAGGAAATGTTTTTGCTGTTTTTACTCTTGATGCTTGTCTCGTGTGTCTGTCTGTCTGTCTTTTCTATTCAGATATGCAGAGATATCTGGTTTAAGTGCTGGTTGGCGGAACCCCAATACAAAAAGGGACTTTTGCATTTACTCTGCGTTAGAGGTCATCTTTTTGAAGCCATCTTGAAAATGAAAGAGAGGCTGATTAGTTGCTATGCACAGCTGCTCCAGATTTTGTCTGTCCCACTTTTGATAAATTCCCCCCTCTGACTCTCTAAGGGTCCCCACACACCTTACGATTATCGTACGATAATCGCGGGAAATCCCGCGATCGTACGATGATCGTAAGGTGTGTGGAAGCCGTGCGACCTCTACTACTGTAAGCAAGCACACACTGCCCGTTCGGCATTGCGGTCATCGGAAGCCCGCCCCTCAGGGGGCGTGGCTTGCGATCATCGCAAGTACGATCTGCCTATGCAACATAGGCAGATCGTACGTTTTTTTAAGTACCTTACAACCATCGCAAGACAGAAGTCTTGCGATGGTTGTAAGGTGTGTGCCCAGCCTAAGATGCTCTTTTTATACTCAATCATGTCACTGACCTGTTGCCAATGAGACTAATTTGTTGCAAAATGTTCTTCCAGCTCTTCCTTGTTAGTACCACTTACCTTGCCTATGTTTTGTTGCCCTGTCCCAACTTTTTTGAGACGTGTTGCTGCCATTCATTTCAAAATTATCCTATTTTTTTTTCTTAAAATGGTACATTTTGTCAGTTTCAACATAGGGTGTGTTTCCTGTTTTTATTGTGAATAAAATCTGGGATTATGAGATTTGCAAATCATTGCATTCTCTTTTGATGTAGATTTTACACAGCGTCAACTTTTTTGGAATTTGGATTGTATTTGTCTGGTGTTTATTCTGAAAGAGAAGAAAATTGTCTCCTTTTTATATATGGTGTTCATAAAAGCAGAACCACTTGATCTTGGATTTTGTGTGTTGCTGTACCATTTGAAGTGCTGTATGCATTGTGTTTACTGCAGGAAAGTGAATGTAAAGCTTATAACCCAAGGCCATTCTGTAAGACCTACACCATGGACAAGCAGCCACTCAACACGGGAGAACAGAAAGACATGACCGAGTTCTTCACAGACCTTATTACAAAGATTGAAGAAATGTCTCCTGAGCTGGTAAGTTCTCTTGTTTATCACTTGAGTTTATTGTAGTAAGATTTGTTTTTTTAACTATTCCTTTTCCTAATTTTTCAACAGAAAAACACAGTGAAGAGTTTATTTGGAGGGGTCATTACAAATAATGTTGTGTCTTTGGTAAGATTTCTTTCATTTTTTTTCTTTACATCTGTTATAGGAAGGGTGGGAGAATATACACGAATAACTGTATGAAATAAAGAAAAGAAAATTTGAGCCAAACAAACATTGCTTTAACGTTGTGTAACAGTGTTTTGCATCTAAATTAAAAAGAAAATGGTATGGGGAGCACATTTGCTATAATTTACAATGTCATTTTTACTTGCGCATTTTAGCCGCTTTACTCCATATTTTTTCTATTGTTTTAGAGATAGAAATTTGTAGATAAGCCACTATAGCAGTGGTTCTCAACCTCTGTAACCTCAGGACCCACATTTGTCCTTAATCATTAAAGTGACATTAAACCCTCAGATTTTTTTAACGTAACCAATAGTGTAATGTGTGCCTTACTGTAATCCATAGTTGTTTCCCTTCTCATTGCTGCTCTTCCTTTTAAATCCTTATCTCTTCTCATGCTGGGGGAGAACTTCCCTTTGCAGCTGAGTGCCTCTTCCTGTAGTGCTGGCTCAGGTTGTGAACCTGCACGCAGACACCATGTATCCATTCCAGAGACAAGGCAGTCTGCTGCAAAACAGAAGTTCTGCCCAGCATGAGAAGAGATACGGATTTAAAAGGAAGAGCAGCAAAGAGCAGGGAAACTACCATGGATTACAGTAAGGCACACATTACAGTATTGTTTTATGTTAACAAATCTGAGGGTTTAATGTCACTAAGTTGCGATCCAGGTTGCACAGCAATGGAATGTACAGCATTCCAGTACCAGGCGTTCGGGTGCAGGCAATTGGACTGTGATTGGAAGGTGCGCTTGGGGTGTCATTCAAATTAATGGCAACGCAACACACCTTCCACACCAGAACTTGCGGTAGGTGCGGTTGCGTAGTACAGTGCATTTATCGCACAGGACTGTTAGATTAACACACTGTACTAGTGAACGGACCCTCAAAATCACTGAGACACACACTCACAAACATTCTCGCAAGGCTATACACTCCAATAAAAATATTAAATATTTTTTTTTTACGAGAACTGGAGTGGACCCTCAGCTTGGGGTCCAGTGTGGGCTCCTGTGCTGTGACCGAGTTCCATTCATACGTGCATTATTTGTTCAGCTCCCTACCGCACCTTGTAGTGGTGACGGGAGCCAGAATGTGATGTCAGTCCACTCCAAGCACCTTTGCAGGGCACATGTGGGAGCTGTATGCAATGCATGTATGGATGGAGATCCCTTATGGCCATACTTCCAGCACACCCACGCCAGGCAGCATATTCTGAATGGCTGTTCATCGCGAGAACCGACCGTGCTGCGCTAGGGGCAGGCTGAGAAGTGTCTCATCTAGAAAAGTGTAAGGCATATGGCGACCCACCAGTTGAGAACCAAGGCACTAGAGAGAGCTCCTAGAAGTTTATTGCAAACACTTGCCTCTAACTTGCTGATTACATTTACACAATGCTCTTTTTTTTCTTACATGTTTGTCCAAATAAAACATTGAAAATGTGTTCTAACCAAGGAAGAATTGTTCTTTGATCTTTTCTATTTAATATATCTGGAAATAATGCTCACTTACTAAGTCATTCTGTAGATTGCAACTTTGGTAAAAATATTTTCTCTTTGCATACATATATTGGCTTTATTATATAGATTGATGTTAATGCGTGTGCTGGTGTATTTGCTTATTGTGCCATTTTCCTGCAGGATTGTGAACATGTAAGCCAGACAGCTGAAGAATTTTATACAGTGAGATGTCAGGTGGCTGATATGAAAAACATCTATGTAAGTATCACATTAGTAAATGCAGCCACCTTGTGGGTGGTGTTCTGTTACACTTTGTAAGCCTGCTATTCTAACACTTGTTCTAACTAGCTCTACATAGCAGACTAGATGATTCTTATGTAGAAATAGTCTGTTCCAAGTCCCCATACATAGATACACGTTAAGCAGAGCAAGTAAAATGATCTAAATTGCAGCAATTTTAAAGGAGAACTATGAGGTGAGTGCTTTTCACTCACCTCATAGTTCTAGCCGACCTGTGACAATGAGACTGTCACAGGTCGGCTCAGTAGATCGGGAGGTGAGCGAACACATACCGGCGTTCGCTCACCTCTCGATCCTGTCACGGCTCTCTGCCGTGACAGGGGAGGGGCTGGATTCCCCCCTCTCCGATCTGCCAGCGCTGACTGGCGGAACGGACGGGGGAGGGGGCGGGTATAGCTGGCTCTGCCTCTAGATAGGCAGAGCCAGCTGTCAGTCACGCAGCTGGGCGGATCCTGGCACAATTGTCGGGATCCGCTTCAGCTGCGGCGTCTCAGTATACCGTGAGCTACAGCTCGCGGTATACTGAGCCTAGGGTGACGGGAGGACGCTAGTTTGTGTCCTCCCGTTACCCTAAGGAGAACTTTATGGAGCTTTAATCTTGTAATTCTCCTTTCTGTTCCCCAGCCAAATACATGTTTCAGCTTTGGGGTTCCACCTGTATATGCCATCATAATTCAATATTGTCATATGACAGTGGACAACAGTGGTTTTCATTAGGAACCATTGTATCTCTGTGATTGAGTAGTCTGTTCATCAAATTCTGTAAGAATATCACTGTTTATGTGGGTCTGGGATAGAGTGGCGAAATATGATTACTGTGAGCTGGGAAACAGAGCAGGGGAAAAGTATATTCATGGATAAATGGGAAGAGTACAAGGGATGCCTCATGCCAATTAGCACAGTCATTTAAACAACACACAGTAATGGATTGTTAAGGCACGCTCAAAAAACGGCTTCATAGAAAAATATCAGTTTTGATTAGACAAAACCAGTGAGTCACTCAAAAGATATAAAACCATGTAAAAGTCATTTAGTTCCTATGAATTACTCCCTTGCTCTTCGTGTTCCCCCAACTCAATACACCCGTCCAATTAACTTGCGCAATTTCATGATACATATACTTTCAACCATTTTTAAGCTTAATTGTGGGTGTACGGAGGGATTTCTCTCATGCCGCTTCTTCGGGAGAAGAATGAGGCAGGGCTGGAAGTATATAGAAACATATATAAATCATTATTTCATCTTATGTTTTCTTATACATTTTTGTAGCAAGCCATATTTCATCTTTCTTGAATAAAAATTCCTGGAGCCAACCTCTTAGGGGTATAACAGAAACCTAGCTGCATGGGCGGACGCCAAGACATTGATATGCGGCTTCTCGTACATCCGCCTCTATTGAAGCATATATAATTAAAGGATCTACAAAAGCATTTATGAGGGATGGTCCCAACTAATAGAGCTTCATGTCTCCAAATGATAACCACCAGAGGGCAGAATTTCTTTTTCACTATTAACAGATAAGTGGCCATCAACATATGTGTAATAACTTATCCCGGGGGAAACTAGAAATGAAGAAGTATCAGAAACATATACACGCTATAAGTGCATTTCTTGTTTGTTTGAATGCATCCATTCAGCCTGCAGAAATGGATTAATTTGACCTAGTTAGTTGAAAAGGACAAACTTTTAGAGCAGTTTGTCTATAAATGCTGAAGTTTTAGCAGTTTGCTGGTCTGGAAGATTCAGGTGTATGTCAAAACAATGTCAAGGAGAAAGACATACATCTTAGAGAAGTAATTGTTGTTGCCCATCAGTCTGGGAAGGGTTAAAAGGCCATTTCCAAATGATTTCCATCATTCTTCGGTGTGGAAGGTTGTTCACCTGGAAAACATTTAGGTCAGTTGCCAATCTTCCAAGGAGTGGACGTTTTGGCAAATTCACCCCAAGGTCAGAAGTTGCAAAAGTTTTAGTCAGGTGTAAAAAAATGCTATAAAGTAAGAATGCTTTCAAAAATATATACTTTTATTTATTTTTATCAATTTACAAAATGCAGTGTGAGTGAACAGAAGAAAATCTAAATCAAATCAATATTTGGTGTGACTTGTCTCTGAAACAGAAATATTGGGGAAATCTTCCAATGGGACACTAATTGTTGTGGCATTATACTTCCGTCGCTTTGAAGAGATTTCCTGTCTCTTCCTTTTGTACATATAGAGCAGGAAGTGAAGGAAAATGTCCGTAGTGGTGCTTTAGACAAAACATAATGGGGGGAATTTATCAAAACTAGAGCATACAGAATGTAGAGCAGTTTCCCATGGCAACCAATCAGCATCTCCAGTTTGCTCAGCTAAGATTTGAAAATGAGACATAGAAGCTGATTGGTTGCAGTGCATATCTGCTCCAGATTTCGTCTGCTCCAGTTTTGATAAATTCCCTTCTATGTGCTTGCTTCATTTTGCAATAGTGTACATTATCTAAATAGTTTTTCTCTTCTCTTTTTTATTTAGGAGTCACTGGATGAAGTCACCATCAAGGACACATTGGAAGGTGACAATATGTATACATGCTCCCAATGTGGGAAGAAGGTGCGAGCGGAGAAAAGGTCTGTGTGAAAAAAATATTCTTTCCAGATTTTGTAACAAAATATCTTGACCTTTAAAACAGTTGTGAGATGTGCGAAGCAAAGGCACTTTAACTGTTTCCTTATGCAATTCCAGTCAAGAGTGTGGCATGTCAAGTGTGCTTGACTATGTGCTGTTGCTATCTGGAAGAGCCCTTCATTATATGTTCCAATTTCTAATGGAATACAAAAAAATGTGACTAGGCCGCCAAGCATTTTCCAGAATAAGTAATAGGACCCTGGTGCCCAATCTGCGGCCCTTTGGTGTTTGAAGGGCTGCTCTCGTGCCACAGCAGTCAGTAGTGGGACTGCTGATTTGTAAAGGGGTCTTTAATAAAAGTCATATTTAGTACATTCATGTAACACGTTCCCGATGACTGACTGCCTCCTACTGCACAACTTCAGCCACCAACCACACTTGTAGAACAGTCTTTGCCCTTTTAATATTTTAGGTTCTCGGTCTTTGACAGTTCTCTGTAACATTACATATAATAATTTATGCAGCCCTTTGAAGATGCCAGGGCTACATTTGAGGTCATCTATGCCTTGTAAGTTGACAACAACTACAATATGCATATTATAATATTCGTCATCAACCTTTTGTAACTGACAATATTAATTTAACACTGCTTAGGTAAAAAGTGGCATGGGGTCCCCAAATAACCGTGAAAGAATGAATACATTCAGACCTCTGTTTTGACACTCCTGCTCAGCTGTCATAGCTGAGCAGGTCTGAGCCAGATAAAACCCAACGTCCATTGGATTCTGCTCTATTCTGCACAATGTCAGCTTGTTCTATGACTCAAGTTTTTGAGTTGTTTTGTTAGACTGCATTCATTTTATTTACAGTGCAAGAAAAATAGGTAAAATGTTTCTTTTTGAAAGCCCATCCTGGTGTTTATGGGTCTTTTATTTATTTTTCTTTTCTACCCCATATTTGCAATTCTTTATAACTACATTATTATATGTTAATGGTGTCACCTCTCTCTGTCCTTTTTAGGGCTTGTTTTAAGAAATTGCCAAGGATATTAAGCTTTAATACGATGCGGTACACTTTTAACATGGTCACCATGATGAAGGAAAAGGTCAACACGCACTTTTCTTTTCCTCTGCGACTGGATATGACACCCTACACAGAAGATTTTTTAATGGGAAAAAATGAAAGGATAGAAGGTATTGTGCGATAATCTGATCCTTGAATGTCTGGTATTGACACTTTCAGGCTGGCCTTAAAGTATATCTAAAGTCAGAACTTTTTTTTAGTTTTCAATAGGGTATGGAATGGTCAGAAACCCTTCCTGTCTGTTTCATTAGGGCTATTTCCCTTCATCACCTGTCCTAGAGACACAACAGGAGATGAAATCTCTCTGAAGGGAGAAGAAATCTCTGCTTACCTGATTTTTCACCAAAACGGCTATTCCAATTGAAATATTTGCTCTTACCTCATGTTCCAGTGACAACTGAAAAATTTTGGATTTCCTATCACTTTCTGTCCCAGTGATAACAAACACCAGGACAAATACAGAGAGTAAATCTTACTAGAGGTACCAAGACAGCATAAAAAAACCTGACGTGTACGAAACCTTCCCTACTCTATCAAGTGGATTTATATACACTTTAAGGTGTTTCTAGGGGTTCATTTATGAACATGGAGCAAAAGCTGCTTATGATAGCAACAAGTCAAATTCTTCACCTTCAGCTCAAATCTGATGCTTGGTTGCTATTGACAGCGGCTCCACATTTGACCTCATTTTCATAAATCAGCTTAGTGTGAGCATATTTGTGCATTGCGGTGTAGCACCACGATAGCAGCCAAGGGCTTTCATACTTTAGAAGAGCATTGCAGATGTCCTGATTTGCAAAGCTTTATGCTTTACCTCTGTAGTGAAAGTCTCAACCCACCGTTTCTGCACTGTTCATACATAACCTGTTTTTTTGTTTTGTTTGCAAGTAATAATGGTCACACACACATCCACAATGCCTTTGCTTAGAAATGTTTTTGTAAAGTAAATGCTGTGTGATGGAATGGCAACGGGCATTTTGATACATTAGATATAGACACTGTGTGTTAATAGCATATATTGTCTCCCTTGTAATACACCAGCACATAAATCTGTGTAACGCCTTCTATAGTGGCCCATGGTGGTGATCTTTGGCATGTAGTGCACTAGTTCTTAATATACTCTCTTAAGCTTAGAAAGCCACCCTCTAAACTGTATCCTTTTACACAGGTATAGTAGTTATCTTTTTTTTATATTTTCTTTTTTTTTTAGGTTTCAAAGAGGAAGCGGAGGATGTCAAAGAGACTGAGAGCTATGAGTACGACTTAATAGGGGTCACTGTTCATACCGGTACCGCTGATGGTGGACATTACTACAGCTTCATCAGGGACATTGTGAATCCCCATGGATATAAAAATAATAAATGGTATGTTCTGGCTTTTTGTATACACATAGGCCCTTATGTGGCATTCACCTATGTGGTGGCATGTAAAAAACTGTGTGAAAACGTATTGTAGATCTTATTATTGGAACAGTATTGTGTTTAGGACGATTAACATAGGTTTATATCCTGTGACATCTGATCTAGCTTCTCCTCTTAGATTTCACTACATTTCCTGTCTAGCAGTAGCTGATTAAATGGGCCCAGGGACCATCCTGCTAGTCTGATTGGGTGAAGCCTTTCCATTAATAAATTCCCTGAGCCTCTGGTCATTTTTGAAGAAGAGACCAGAGCTTTTTGAAGTTACTTTTTCTTCTTCCAGAGTAAGAATATAAAGCTGGACCACATTTTGAGTGGTGTGCCCAGTCCCGGAGACCTTCTTACAACCAGTCTTACAAAAAGATATTGCTAAGATAAGTGAGTCCAAAGAAGGGCAACAAAAATTGTAAAAGGTCTAAATGATAACACATCAAGAGTCAGAAAGAGCTAAATGTGTTCTGGGAAAATGTGTGAAACCTTTAAATATATTAAGAGCGAATAAGATTCAAGAGGTCAGTATTTTCAATGTGAAGCTAAGATCAAGAACACGGCTGTACCTCCAATTATTGGGAGGAAAGTTCATAAACAACCTTTTAACCAAAAAAGTAGTTGATGCTTGCAGCAGACTTCTAGCAGAGGTAATGAGTCCATCAACAGTTAATACATTTAAACATGCTTGTGATGAACATAAATTTATAGATGACTAAAAAAGGTGGGTGACAGACTTGGTGGGCCACTTGGCCTTTTTCTGTCTCCAATTCATAGAAACATAGAAGAATGATGTGAAATGTTGGCTACACAAGAAACTGGACTTTTAGTGGCAGGTATTTCTGTAAGTCTATTTGTAAGCTATAACCATATGTTACACTTCATATCAGGTTATACATACAGGTGAAACTCGAATAATTAGAATATCGTGCAAAAGTAATTGCAGTAAGTGCTGCAAAAGGGGCCCAAACCAAGTACTGAGTACATAAGCATGCTTGTACTTTTCAGAGGTCCGATATTGTTCTATGTACAATCCTTGTTTTATTGATTGCATGTAATAATCTACTTTTTTGAGGTTGTGGATTTGGGGTTCTTGGGGTTTTCATGAGCTGTAAGCCATAATCATCACAATTATGACAAATCACGGCTTGAACGATCTTGCTTTGCATGTAATGAGTCTATCTCATATATATTCGTTTCACCTTTTAAGTTGCATTAGTGAAATAAATTAACTTTGCACGATATTCTAATTATTCGAGTTTCACCTGTAATATAGAATTTACAATCAGATTAGGGAGAGAATGCTACCTTTGGTCATGGGCTTCTAAAACATGAGGGACTCCCACTGAAGTTCTCGACATGGCATACTGTATATAAGATGCTTGAAGGAGATGCAGTTACACCAGCCACTTAAAACTATAATATCGGTTTTTGGAAGTGACATATCATTTTATGCTTCTAGAAGAGGCATAATCCTAACTATGTCCAATGACTGACCAATTGATAGGAATCACTGGATCATGTTGGGTCATAGAGTTGCTTAATTCCCATTCAGTTTTGAAGGCAACCTACCCCTCTACCCTAAGTCTGATGTTACAGAGCAGGAGGCAGGTTCGATTTTTGGCAGAGAGTTGTTTGACTGGAGTCATAGTGTGGCTTTATTTTTAAATAATATTCTTATACTTTATATGACTGCGCTGATAACTTATTCTGTTTCTCAGGTATCTTTTCAATGATGCTGAAGTGAAGCCATTTGATTCAGCTCAGCTTGCTTCTGAATGTTTTGGGGGTGAAATGACAGTAAGTTAATTCAATATTTGCAAAGTAGCATTATATCTTGGTGTAGTAACACAGCAAGCATCATTTTAGAATTAGGGAAACCATGAAAGATGATTGTTTGCTATTACCTTTAAAAAAAAAAAAATCTGCACAGAGAGAAATAATGTAGGCTGCTGTCACTGACCTCCTGAAAATGCTAGTAGAATGGCTGTTGTGTTTATCTAGTACTTTGATGTGGCTAAAGTATAAAGGTGAAGAGCTCTGATTTCACTGGCTCTTTATTTGTTCTAGATCAAAGATTTATAAAGTATTGACACCTGAGTCAGTCGGGCAGCTAGCATTTTCAAGAGGTCAGGATCCTATACTTAAATGTATCCACAGTCACTGAATCTTACAAGTTTCTGAAGAAATTACCTGACCACGAGAACAATCTCTGTACATTGACTCCTATGCGTATGCATGTAATCTGATGCAAAGTTTACTTCTGTATTCAGAAAAAACAAACAGTTTTACAATTGCTCACCTTGTGTGAAGAAATGGCCGTTTTCTCTGACTCAGAACAAGCATGCAGCAAGTAAAGACAAAGGGGGGACTTTATCAAACAAATTAGCAACACAGAAGCAAATCATGCTGCCTCTCACTTGTATTTGTACAGATTTTCACTCAAGCGGCAAGCTTATAATTTATGTCACAGAATCTGTCACTGCTCCTGTTTAGCATTGCCTTGCTGTGTGACAGAATTAATAGATATTCCCTAGATAATTTAGAACTATGCCCTGAGATTGGCACTGAAAATGTATTGAGCCTGTTGGATCAGCATGACATCTATGCGAAGGTTCTCATTCATCCAGGTCATGGTATATCTGTAAAAAGTCAAGGCAACTGGACTTGCTGTATTTTTCTTGAAGACGTTTCATTGGTCATCCAACCAGCTTTCTCAATTCAGATTGACCTGTATAAAAAATATCTAGGAATAAATATGGTGAATGTTGCTCCAATTCACACCTGTTAGTCACAACCAGGTGTGTATCGCATTTGCATAATGGGAGTCTAGGAGGTGTTATTAACCTGCCCAGAGAGAGGTATTTAAAATCTCTCTCTTGGCAGGTTAATAAAACCTCCTAGAATCCAACTCCCTCTCTGTGTGTTAACACCTCTGCTTTTATTACACAGAGAGGGATTTACTATTTGCTGTAGCAAACAAAATCTGAAGCAGTTGTGCATGGCAACCAATCAGCTTCTAGCTTACATTCCCAAAGCTTAACTAAACAAGTTGAAGGCAGAAGCTGATTACAGTGGTTACAGTGCACAGCTGCTCCAAATTATATCTGCTCCAGTTTTAGCAAGTTCCGCCAATAGTATTTTTAAGGAGTGCTAGCCATGTCTCTGTCTCTATGCAAAACCAAACAGTTTGAGCTTTAGACACTTTGTTATCATGTATGGCAGTACGGCAAGTGTTAGGCAGTTATCTAAGTGAAAGTCTTGTAAGTCATTTCGACTATCAACCGGTCTTATAAGTTGTTGTTTTTTTTTCCTCCCCTCAGACAAAAACCTATGACTCTGTAACTGACAAGTTTATGGACTTCTCTTTTGAAAAGGTATGTTCATAAAAACCATAAACAGTAAATACAGTGAAATGAGGTCTAAAATAATTGGAACTGGTGACATGGAATCTTCTTGTCCCCATAGACTCATAGCGCTTACATGCTGTTTTATAAACGTGTGGAGACAGAGGAGGAAACCAGCAAGGAGGTGAAGTTTGATGTCTCTTCAGAGCTCCTAGAGGTATATATTTCATATATTGTAGAAACTGCAAAACTTTATACCAGTGAGTTCAAGCAACATGAGCCTAGATGTTTGCATGCATTATATATATATTGTGACATAATGAAAGGGGAAATCATTGAGGGGCAATATATTCCCCTCGGTTTCTTTCATTATCGGGAAACCGAGCTCGAGTCCAGACCTGGTTTTCCGGATCACTTTGGGTCTGTGTGATCCAGATCGGGTTTTGTCTTTCACTTGTGATTGTCCAGATGAGATAAAAGGGGAGGGCAGGAGCAAGATCGGTGCTTATTTTTTGTGAGGTGGCTGGGAGTAGCTCACCACCTGTTAAGGTGCCCACACACCTTGCGATAATCGTACGATAATCGTGGGAAATCCCACGATCGTACGATTATCGCAAGGTGTGTGGGAGGCGTGCGGCCTCTGCTACTCTAAGGTCGCGCGATTTTTATCTTGGGAACATGTTCGAAAACCCGCCGAGAATCATACGATTGTCGGCGGGTGTGTGGCGTGTTCGTAAGATAAATGCCGCACGGGCCGGTGTGCGTAAGCGCACTGCCAGTACTGCATTGCGGTCATAGGAAGCCACCTCCACCACCTTATCTGGAACCTAAGCTGTCCGTACATATGCACAGATTACAGATTACCTGCAGAGTAAAGCTGTTTAAGACCTCCACTACCAGTAATCGGCCAATGTATGATGCCACTTTTAATTCCAAATGTTCCAATTTATGGCCTACATTCTCTATTTTTGATTTTACTTAGTTCATTTCTTAGACCACAGTTTTCTACAAATTCAAAAAGTCAAGTTATTCTTTCTAAACAAACATGTCATTATTCTCCTCTTCTAGTCAGTGATTTGTGTCCAGTTTTGTGGGCTTCCACTGCAGGCTCACTTTGCTTGTTAGCCTGTAGTGTATACTTGCCATGTCCTACTTTTCATTTGATTGTGGCATACATAGGCAGGAGACTAAAGCTGGCCATACACTGCAAATTTTGGCTGGTTCTTGAAGAGCTGGCCGAAATTCACACAGTGGGTGCCACTGTTGGCAGTTCGGCATCAGTTGACCAAAGGAGCCAGTTGAAAAAAATCTTCACGTGAAACAGCAGCCAATGAGCTGCCAGCTCTGTTCAGGCGTTCTGATGGCAGCCGCTGTCAGAATACAATGAAGACAGCGGAGGATTCCACAATCAACGCTTGTAAGCATTGGTGGAGGAATCTGTTATATTGCCTTTGATCAGTCCGCAGTTTGCTTTAGCCAAAAACTAAATTGGCACTAGACCTGGAAAATGGCTGTGTAAAAAAAGGAGTATTATAATATGTTCATTCCAAGCACTATAGCTCAAGTTCCCCTTTAAAAATATTAAGACCCAGCCCTACATCTCTATATTTTGGTATGTTTTCCTGATCTGTGCTAAAATTCTTAGTAGTTGTGCCTTTCCCTCTTGTTTTAACTGAGTGCCAGCAATAGATGTAGGTAACATCATTTTGGTAGTAGGGTCTTGTACCATGTAAGCCATTAATGAATGTAGAAAGATTGGAGTTTTGTGATAACCCTTTGCTGGTCAACTTAAATTGTTAAAGATGCTCATAAGGATGTTACTTAAAGTACATTCTTTCTGCATAACATCTTCGACAAATCCTTAGTGCTTTCATTTAAATAAACAAATTTGTTACACCAGTGTTGTGTAAACTTTGTTCACAGTGGATCTGGCACGACAACATGCAATTTCTACAGGACAAAAACATTTTTGAACACACATATTTTGGGTAAGGGTTTTTCTTCTATATAGACAAACTTGTTTGGCTAATGTCCTGCTGTAAAGGAGTGAAATAATGACCTTGTGTTTCCCAGGTTTATGTGGCAGCTGTGCAGCAGCATTCCCAGCACCTTACCAGATCCTAAAGCGGTGTCTTTAATGACAGCCAAGGTAAATGCCAATATCTGCAGGTTTCATTGTAGCAGATTCTTCATCCTAAAGTGAAGTTTAACGTTTCTCCTCCCGGTCTGTTTACATTGCAAGGATTTTACACGTCTGCTTTGTAGACTCTTATTTGTTTCTAGTTTAATAGTGGCCCAAGAAGACCTTTTTATGAGAGAGGCGTAAAGTCTGTTGCTGGCTTCTCATTCTGTAAATGTCAGTTGCCGGGTTGCCATGTTAAATCCCTTACATCAGTGCTTTTTGCTATCTCATAAAAAGCACTAAAGTACAAAATGTCATGCGTAGCACTCGCATGTCACACCTTTTTGTGAAAGTGGGGTCCTTTACCTAGTGCAGAATTTAACAAAGTTAAGCTCAGCCATTTAAAGACGTTTTTAACTGTTGGATCTTATTAACTTTGTTCTTTTGTTGTTGTTTCTTTCAGCTCAGCACATCATTTGTTTTGGAGACTTTTATTCATTCAAAAGAAAAGGTATGTGATAAGTATTTTCCTTTCCTGTTTTGCATCTGACAGATTACTGGAAAAATTATTTCTTTTTCATCCATTAAGGGACACAGGAAGTCATAGAGCTTGTTCACGTTATTTCCATTGAGCTGCATTTTTCTTTAGACCACCACACATGTATGTGGTGGACAGGGCACATAAACAATGGTTTTCTATCTGCGCTCTTCACAACATACATGTGTGATGGTCTGCAGAAAAATGCAGCTCAGCGGACTTGGGGCAATAGTTCATCCCTGAATACTGCAACAGAGACTCTAAACTCTGTTTCTGACAGTTTAGAAACAGCTGCTATATGTTTACATTAGAAGGCTGGCAGGATTCTACCTATAAAGTAAGAGCAAAGGAACTTACTGATTTCATTGCACCTGTTGTGAACTAATATTGATCACAATATAATCTAAGCCCTGTTCATGAAAATATCAAAGTTAAGAGTTTGAGATCAAATATTGACAATATTTAATCACGTTAGCAAATATTATTTATGGGAGATGCTGAGAACTGGAGGTGCTAAAAGCATTCATTTTTAAAGGGGAATGTATCAAAACTGGAGCAAATTTTGAAGCAATCAGCTTCCATCTTTCATTTTTAAAGTTTAACTATACAAACTGAAGAGAGAAGCTCACTAGTTACTATGGGCAGCTACTCCACACTTTGTCTGTTCCAGTCTTGATAAATCCCCTCCCTATAGAATTTACTGTTCTGCCATAACATGGTTGCAGAAGGAAACCATGCTTTGCTTGTTCTGTAAGGCTACTTGCTTATGAACAGTAATTCTCTAAGGGGTTTCACTGGTTTTCTTTTATAACTGTTGTAGGTTCAATTACTTTTACCATATGATACGCAGTGTTTTCTTTAGCTATCACTTTTCTTGGTCTCTTTGTTTAGCCCACAATGCTTCAGTGGATTGAACTGCTGACAAAGCAGTTTAACAACAGCCAGGCGGCCTGTGAGGTAAGATATGTATAGCCTGTCTTGTAAATTATGCTGTAACAGCACTAGGCTCACATTAGCTTTGCCAATAAAATAGGAACTGGCAGGTTGTTTTAAAGCCACATTTCATGCTGATTGGTTGCCATGGATCACTGCTCCAGATTCTGTCTGCTCCAGTTTCAATAAATTCCCCCTTATTTATTTCAGTTTTAATCCTGTGTACAGCAGATGTTAGATTAAGAGAGTGAAAAGCAGCAGTATTAGCTAATCAGGAGACTACTGCATTGCACAGTACTGGCCATCTAATACTAAAAGCTAATAACAGGAGAGGGTAGAGTAATGGATGTATCAGTGTACTGCTACCCAGTCATTGTCCAGCCACAGGCTATGAAAGCTCCTAGTCCTGGTTGTATTGCTCAACTCAAGTTTAGTCTGCAGAGAGCTCTCAGGGAGTGCAGGAGCTGATTGTGCTTTCTGGCATTGGTACCTAGATCAGAAGACTGGCTGCACAGAATTATAAATCAATTGGCATGTAAACCCTTAACATATATGTATTTCATGTGTGTATTTGCTTGGAGTTCAGCTTTAACCAGCTTTGGCTTACCTCTTCTAAAATGTTTGTGTTATTTTTTTTAAGTGGTTCTTGGACCGGATGGCTGATGATGACTGGTGGCCTATGCAGATCCTTATCAAGTGTCCAAATCAGATTGTGAGACAGGTTTGTGCATATGCTAACATTGTTATTAGAACTGCTCACAATTGGAAAGTTGCACTTTATTTCTCTACTGTTCATTGACGGACACAGCTCTGAAGAATTAAAAAATGTAGGGTTATGTTGCTGCTTCCAGGAGAAATGGACACTAGGCAAAAAAAAAATGAAAAGCCTGCCACTTTAAGTACATAGCCCCTCCCACTTGTCCGTTTCACTTAGTGTCCTCAGGAGAATGGATGTCTCCATCTTTTATTATTTTAGTTTGTCATGTTGCTTTGAAGAGATTATTTTATCAAGAGCTGCTAGTTGATTCATGCCGGATAAAATAAAATCCATGACCACTCTTCGTTGTGAGGAAAGCCCTACTTCCGGGTGCTCTTCTTCCTCCCAGCTGCCTGGTATTGGTCCTCATCATGTAGTTAATTCTAGGTCATCTATATAAAGATGGTACTATAGTAACATTTCACGTTTGTAGGAGTACTTGGGACTGCCCTTTACTAAATTTCTGGCCTACTTCCAATTACTCAATGCGGTTTGGGCCCAGTTTGATGGCACTTCATTATCATTGTCCTAGTTAGCACTGGAAAAACTCCTACGTAGAGAGCTCTCTGCTAGGTTGATTTCTACCTACTATGCTGAATTGTGTAGTTGTAAGACTTCCCGCTTAGAGAAAGCTAAACAAAACTGGCTGATGTTTCTCCCTCAAATGGATCCTGATGATTGGTGCTGACTTCCTCCACTCATTCTGGTCTTGTAGGGTGATACGCAATTACTGGTCAGAGGTCACAACCTTCCTTTTTGGAATCGAGCTTGGGCTTGCCTAATGTTTGCTATCCCTCAGTGTGCCTGCTTGGGTTGATGAAAGACCTGTGTCTGTATTCTTATAACAAACACCTACTCAGAATCCTTTTCTTTTATGGAAAAAATGTATTCTCATGGTTTAAAATACTCCCTCACCTCCTACCTTGAGTGGATAGAAGAGACCCATAGATCAGATCCTCCCATGTCTCAGCTGTTTTGGACGGACTTTTTCTTTGCACTGTTCAAGGTCTTTTGGGGCAGGGTGTTATTATTCCATTTTTCCCTTGGCAGAATGTATACAGGGTTTTTACTCAAACCTGTTTAATTCCCAAACCCAAAGCAGTCTTTGGTCCAATTCCAATTGATGGCACTCAATTTTTTTTGTACATATTTAGAAAGTGCAGATGGAATCCATTCGGTTGGTTGTTGCTTCTTATCGACAAGGGGATTTTTTTGCTTTCCATCGCACAGACGATGCGCGTCTACACATTCCTGTTTTTCCAGCTCATCAATGTCTCCTTTGATTTGCTATAGGCAATCATTTTTATCAATATGTGGCTCTTCATTTCACCTAGCTTTGGCTCCAAGAGTCTTTCCAAAAGTTCTTGCTCCAGTTCTGGGACTGTTTCAACGCAAGGGTGTTCCAATTATCGCACAATGAAACAATCTGTTGCTTTGCAAACAGTCTATTCTGACTCTAGAACTCAATATCTCGATAGTGCAGCAGATTCTGGAGAACTTCAGTTGGATTCTGAACATTGAGAAATCATCCCTAGATTTGTGGCATCGCTTGGATTACTTGGATCTCTTGTTGGACACACTTCAAGCAAAGGTGTTCCTCCCTGAGGACAAAGTGCTGAAGTTGCAAAGTAAAGTTCGGTTTTTGCAGTCCTGTCGTCAATCCTCCCTGATTACCTGCATGAGAGATCTGGGATTGATGGTATCCTTCTTCAAAGCGGTACCATTTGCCCAGTTTCATTCCAGGACATTCAGAGAATCATTCTTACAGCATGGGACAAGTCTCCTCTCTAGCTGGACAAGATGACCCAATTGAGTGCCCAGGCAAGGATGTCTGTCGTAGTGGGTGGCATCCCCTGCATTGTCAATGGGGAAATCATTTATTACTATAACCTAAAAGATTGTCACGATGGACACCAGCCTTGTTCAAGGACTTGTGCATGTTGGTCCTCCTGTTTGGTCTTGCTCTTCCTTCATGGCATTTGAATAATTTTTTCGGTTCTTCAGAAACCTCCTTTTGAACCTAATCAAGATTTTTCTTTGTCATTGTTCTCCAAAAAGGTTTCCTTTTTGGTGGCTCCTACCTCGGCTAGAAGGGTTTCCAGATTATCTGCTTTTGTCTTTGGTTCATAAGGGCAAGGTTGTTTTAAGAGTGTAGACTTCCTTTTTACCCGAGGCAGTTTCTGCTTTTCATCTTAGTGAAGACATTGTTTTCCCTTCACTTTGTCCGGCTCCTGTTCATCCTAAGGAAATTTTGGCTATCGGATTCTTTGTCCTACAACGAAGGTCCTAAAACGGTTGTTTTAGATCTACTGTTTCTAAGCGGATTTGTACAAACTTATAAGTTATGAGATAAATTGCCTCCCTTTCTGGTTTCTGCTCATTCTACTTGGGCAATTAGTACTTCTTGGGCCTTTCAAAATCAGGCTTCTGTTGATGATATATTCTGTTCACACTTTGGCAAAGTTTTATAAAGTTGATGTTTCTGATTCTAGTTTTGGCAGAAAAGTTCTTCAGGCAGCTGTTTGAGTTCCATTTTTTGTTGCTCCGATTCTTCTGGTTGTTTTAGACCGCCCCTCTATTTGGACTGCTTTTAAATGTCCCTATGTATCCTCATCAGTAATCGCTTCAGATCTGTGTCCCTCAATGGGCAATGGAGAAAATAGGATTTTGTTCTTACTGTAAAATCCTTTTCTTGGATAGGTAATTAAGCCTTTTTTTCCCCCCGGGAACCATTTTTTTTCTTTCAGTGATAACAGGTGAAGAATTAGTACTTGAGCTAAGATAAGCAAAGTTTGTATAAATGTTTTACATTTCAATGCAATATACTTATTTTAGTTTTCCCAACTTTTGTTTTATTCCCAATATTTGTGTGTTTGTAACAGATGTTCCAGCGTCTTTGCATACATGTTATTCAAAGGCTGCGATCTGCACATGCACACCTCTATCTTCAGCCAGGCCTGGAAGATGGGTATGTTTACAAGTTAATCAGTATTGTTTTGTAACCAATGTGGACCCTTCAGATTTGTTTATGTATTTTACTCAGAGGATTTATCTTAAACCATCTCATTTTATTCTGCGTTTTGCAGATCCGTAAGCGTCACTTTTATCTTTACTCATAGAAGCTTTGATATGTTTGAAAATAGGGTGCTGCTATTCCAAATAGTTTTTCTGTAAATGTATTCTGTTTACTCGCCACACAGTGGGAGAGATTGTGCCCATCAGTGGTGTCAGTCGGGGGAATTGTGCCCCACCAATGATGTCAGTAAAGGGAAATATTCCCTATCATTAGTGTCAGGAATAGTGCCCCAAGGGCCGGTTAAAGGCAAGCAAGTCCGCACTCAGGCCCATGGCCTTCAGTTTGGGGACCACTGGTCTAGTGTTAGTGGTATTAAAAGGACCCTGTACAACCAAACTACAATAAAGGGTTAAAAGAAGACATTGAATCCTCACCTTTCTTGCACCATGTTGCATGCTCTGGTTCCTGCTGTTTATAAATAAGTACAGTATACAATAGGGAGCTGTGGATTGAACCACTGAGTGCAGAGGTGTCAGATTCTGCAGCCCTTTTGCACTCTCTCTTCTCCGCAGTAAACGGCAGGTGGGGTATTTAAAGTGGACCTTTCACATCAGTATGAAGCTCCTCATGCTGATCTGAAATCATCTTTTCTCCATTAGTTAAACAAACCCATTTTTATTTTATTTACAATTTCTTGTTTTCTACTTCCTGGTCTTCTTTGGCAAAAGTGATGTAATGTGCCCAAGGGTCGCATCCCGGGAAGGTTAAATCAGCGGTTCATTATTGGGAAATCTCATCTGTAATCTCACGAGATCTCAGGGAAAGGCATTTTCCTCCGCTGAGATAATGTGCATGGTCACATGTCCTAGTCACATGTGCCGGGGTTCCAGGAAGTAAAGGGAGATGGATTAGTCTGCCCTTAGTAAAAAATGGCCACTGTGAGAAGAATGGGGAAGGGAAAAAAAAAGGTATGCAAAGAATAGAAAGCCGGCCATTATCTTTGACTATCTGCTTGTAGATGGCCATTACTAAACATGTCTAAAGGTGCCTTTGTTATTTTGAAGATATGGGTAAAGGTCCTCTTTAATGTTGTCTTTGCAGGAAGGTCTTTTTTTCGTATATTTTTATTGTAGCGAGTCGTTTTACAGGGAATGCACAATCTTTTACATTTTTTAAATAAACCTGTAAGAGATCAGCTTGATATACATGATCCTATTTTTAGATCTGGTCTAATGTTTTTTAAAACACTGTTTTTATACTGTATATCATTTGGAATTGTATATGTACAAAGGTAAAGCGAGCCATATATGGGCAGGCCAAATTCTTTTTTTTTTAACATAAATGCTCTAAAAATATGAGACACAGCTAGCCACCTTAAAATAGATTATACCAGTACTGTGCAAACACTTTAAGTCAAGATGCTTTAAGTAATAATTAAATCAACAGTTTTCTGGTTTTATCAACTAACAACCCACAAAGTGTAGAACCAGAAACAAGCCTTTTTATCAAATATTTGCGTTAAAAAATCAATTCTCCCAGGTACACATGCCCACAGTTAGGGATCGTTTCCACCAGCCTGTGCGCTCATCGCACTGTCCCATGCCTGGAACGCAAGGGATCACATACACAAAGTCTCCTTGCGTTCTGTGGTGGGGGGGCATGGCAGTGCAATCATATCAATGGCACTTCAGACACGCCCCCCGCCCGTAGTGCGATTGGCTGCACAGGACTGTGTGGTAATAAAAATCATGCATGCACTATTTTTTGCGATCGTACTGCACTGGAACGCAGGGGATTTTATTACCACATAGTCCTGTGCAGCCAATCGCACTGCGAGCGGAGGGCATGTCTGCAGTGCCATTGACATGAATGGCACTACCATGCCCCAGAACGCAAGGAGACTTTGAGTATGCCATCCCTTGCGTTCCAGACACGGGACAGTGCGTTGAGCGCACGTGCTGGTGGAAACGAGCCCTTAAAGGAGAACTATGGGGTAAGTGTTTTTCCCCATAGTTCTCCTAAGGGTCACAGGAGGACACAAACTAGCGTCCTCCCATGACCCAAGGTATGTGTTCGCTCACTTCTCGATCTATTGAGCTGGCGTGTGACAGTTTAATTGTCACAGGTCGGCTCGAACTATGAGGTTGAGTGAAAATCACTCACCTCATAGTTCTCCTTTATGGATTTTGCAGGTACTGCCTGATTAAACAATTATATGAAACAGGTGATAATGATCCACAAAATTTATATGTAGGCGAAATTACAATCATTAATCTAAACAGAATCAGCTGTGTAGGAGCAACGAAAATTGTTGAGGAGAAACTATGCTCTACTAACAAACTGAGGTAGCTGAAGGCAATTCAATGTAAATTATGGCAAGACTGAGCACAGCAACAAGGCTGGCATTCCTGCATCAATAAGGTCTACCACAGGCAGAAATGTCAAGACACTCACGTGGTTTCAGAATTGCTGTCCAAGTACAGTGGTACCTCGGTTCACGAACGCTTCTGTTCGCGAACAATTCGATTTAGTCCTGGAACAGCCCCCACAATATCCCACGATATCCCTGATCTCAACATTGAGTTTTTCTGGGATCACATGAAGAGACTGAAACAACTGAGGCAGTCTAAATCAATATAAGAGCTGTGGTTAGATCTCCTAGATGTTTGGAACAATCTACCTACGTTCCTTAAAAATGTGTGCAAGTATACCTAGGAGAATGAATACTATATAAAAGGTAGGGTGGAAATGCCAAATATTTATTTTGTTTTTACACTAGGTTTTTAATTGTCTCTTCTAACCATTTAATTAGTCACTTCTAACCATAACCTGTATGGTTATACCATTTTGTTGTGTCCCAAGTTCTCAAAGCCACGGTTATCATAGATTGCACTTATGCGTGTATGATGGCCAGAAAGCCTGAATGCATGCAGTTTGGAATAAATGGCTCTATAATATTAGGGTATATTTGCTCTCTACACCAGTTGTTCCAGATGTGCATCTTGGTAATGGGACGTGAAAGGAATAATCCTCTTATTTTTGGGATATGTTCCTTCTGTTCTAAGCCGGCTTTACTGTGATAAAAACGATTTAGTTAATTGTTTTTGAAAGCATCCTCACTTTACACATATTTCTTAGGTGCCTAAAACATTTGCACATTACTGGACATTCCCTTTATTAAGTAGGAAATGCTATTTAGGTTCACTAGTAAAAAAAATATATATATCTTTATTAGAATTTAATATACCAATGTTCCTGACTTGCTTTTCAGCTCCGACGACATGGATGGGCCTGTGGAGGACATTGGCAGCCGCTCTTGTGTTACTCGCTTTGTGAAAACATTACTTTCTATCATGGAGCACGGTGTAAAGCCTCACAGTAAACATCTCACTGAGTACTTTGCCTTCCTGTATGAATTTGTCAAGATGGGAGAGGAAGAGGTATTCATCTCTGTATACATCGGGTTTGGTGGTATATTTATTTACAGCGTGTTCAATGTTTAACTTCAAATTTCTCTTTCAGAGCCAGTTTTTGCTGTCCCTACAAGCCATATCAACCATGGTACATTTTTACATGGGAACCAAAGGGCCTGAAAATGTAGGTAGATCAATGCAGTGACGACACATATGCATATTTATTTCTTGTATATCTTTGCTTTGTGCTAGTAAATCGTGTCCCATTGCTGAGTTGCTAGTTTAACCCTTTCGCTGACAAGCCCTGCATTCTACTTTTCACCTCAGCTGGCCACATCATTTTTGCAATTTTTTCACCTTTTTTTTTTTTTCAACTGCTGCTTCTAGAGTTTGTAAAAGACCCCCAAACCATACATTTCCTTAAAACACAGAACTGGTAGAATAAAAAGATGGTGCCACTAATTTTGTAGGTCCAGCGATAATTGCGCAATGTTTCTCAAATCAATTTTAAACCGATAAAAGTACACAAATTGATAAAAGAACACTAAAATCAATATCAGTGCACAAAAACACTTTAATGTTCACTTGTTTTTGGGGCACATTTGATTGTGTTTAATAAGTACACTGTGGACAGCCCAAAGAGAATGCGACAGTGAGGCGACAGAGAGAGACAACCAGGTGAGAGCATAACTGTGCGGTGAGAGAGACAATCCAGCCAGACAGGCAGATTAGAGCAAGGGAGAGAGACAGACAGACAGATCCGAGACACACAAAAGAGAGTGATAGAGGGAAAGTTTTCCCCTACCAACATGAGTAGAAATCTTGTGATGACTCAGGGAATAGTTCTCTCTCTTCTCTGTCACAGCCGCTGCTGATCATAACAGAGGATATATTTGAAACTTGTGCATGCTTGGTCATCCTGAAGGGGACGGGGTAAGCACAGTCTGATCAGCCCAGCAGAGATTACCCGACCCTCCGAGACGGATTGAAGTTCCTCTGGAGGGAAATTTGATTTTCTAGGACGAGCAACAATGTCACACTTTCTTCCTTGATGTGGCTCTGAAGAGGTGTTACAAATGTAGTGTAGTCATTCACATCCAAATACATATTTAACATGGGCATCTAGACAGCAGTATATAGGCTCCAATAATATAATAACGGAAATACAGGGCCCAACAAAAATGAGCATGGCATCTCCCAGTGGTTCTCATGCATTTGAACATGAATCCCTATACCCTGTCTGTATAAATTTTTTTTGGATGAGAGAAGAAGAAAAAAAAATATGGATGACTGAAGTTTGGTTCAGCACTCCTAACTGAAGATAGTCCCGCCTGGATTATCCTCGACCCATGTCAACATGGGAACAAAGGTGCCCTGCAAAGGAAAAAGGCTTTGCTGCTGCTGCCACTAGTTTTCCCCTAGTGGCAGCAATTCAGCTGTAGCTGGTTTTACTTTCAAGGAGACCCAGTCACTACAAAATCTGTGGAATCTGCTAGGGGGCACAGAAAGTAACATCAGCTTATTCTCAAAGGCATTGTCCACTATTTGAAGAAGAAAAAAATGTATAAACGTACAAGTCTACCCATATTTACTTCAAAAATAAATGTTTATTACATTTTTAAATTTGAGCATGCAAATGGCATCAGTGCAATGCACAGGCTCCTGCAGACTCTTCCCCCAGCCCTAGGCCTGTACCACTTTAATGGGCCAGAGTAAGTAATCATTGGATTACAGGCACTTTGATGTTATCACACTTGTGCTCTATTGAGATCTAGGAGTCTCTTTGCCGTGGTGGCAGGTGGGACTTGTAGTCTCTTCATCCATACTATTGCACACCCTTCTTATGCAGTGTTGTAACTATTCATGACAAAATCTAACAAGCCTTTATTGATATCTCATTGCACGAAGATTTCTTCTTCATAATTTCTTGATCAGTTGTCAATTACAACAAGCAGAATTAAATATTGAAGTACTGAAAAACAATTTTTACTTTGTAATCAAGCGGGAAAAGATAGAACTTCCTTAGAGTTTTTGTTGATGCCTGTGGCGCCTTTGGGAGGCATTATCACTAAGGGAGTGAGTAACCGCTAGAGGCCTAGGGGACAGTTAGACCAGCCGTACTGTTTGTGGCCCTAATGGGCCAAATATAGAATGTAGTCGCTTCCTGCCAGTGGAACAGGAAGATAATATTTTACCAGCGGGGTGCAGAAAGCAGTAAAAAAAAAAACCACGTTGATCTGACCTTTTCTCTATATAAACTGCAATCATCTTATTCTACTGGTCCTTTTGCTTTCAGAAAATGTATAATGTTTGGAGGATGGATCTAAATTAATTTTGTGTCTTGCGCTCCTCTGTTGGAAACTGGCATGGCCACTTCCCTCTCCCATCCCAATGCCTAACCTGTTGGGATGACATTTGTGTGCAATGCAGTACATTCTTTTTGGATTGTGGTATTGATATGCATTATATTACATTGGTATGAACCAGGGCTGAAACCGTTTTCCTAGCTGGGATTGTTGTTTCAGCCACAGGTTGAAGTATTGTCTGAGGAAGAAGAAGGGGAAGAGGAGGAGGAAGAAGATATTCTGTCACTGGCTGAAGAAAAGTACAGGCCAGCTGCTCTTGAGAAGATGATCGCTCTTATAGCTTTCCTGGTGGAACAGTCCCGTTCAGAAAGGTAGGCTGATGACTGTTGTAGACTATCATACTTGGATGTAACTTAAAGTGATTTCACTAAATATATTGTCTTCAAAGAAAGGAAGTGAAATTATCTTGTTATGACATTGATTAATTGCAGGTGTTCTAATTTTTCCTCCTATTTCTAGGCATCTCACATTGTCCCAGAATGACATGGCAGCGTTAACAGGTGGAAAGGTAATTTTTTTTGTCTGTGTTTGATGAATATTCACATGCCAAGAGCATGGATGAAATTTTTGTTAACATTTTGCTAAGTATTTATTAAATCATCTTGCACCTTTTATCTTTTAGACTATACCATATGGCATGTGCAATTCCCTGATTGCATAATATGTTTGTTTTTTGTAGGGCTTTCCTTTTCTGTTCCAGCATATACGAGATGGAATTAATATCCGACAAACCTGTAACCTCATTTTCAGCCTTTGCCGATACAACAACCGTCTTGCTGAGCACGTAAGTGCAAGACTGTCATGTAATAGATGAGAATGGAAGTTGATGGTAACCTTCACTTACTCTACAATTGACCTGCATTTAACAGAAAGCAAGACTAACAAATCAGTGTGACAGGAGTTTTTTTTGTTTGGTTTTTTTTTTTATATTAAATCCAAACATGCTGGAATAAAGGTGCAGAAAGTGTGTAAAAGATTTTAACTTTTAAGAAATCCTTACTATTTGGTAGCAGAAAGCAGTTTTCTTTGCCAAGCATTCTGAATGCCAAGTTTTAAATAAAAAGTGTCTTAGTCTGTATAAAAATGATGTGGATGCTGGTTGCACACCTTTACTGTGCTCTGACCAAAAGTAATGGATTTGTTTCTCGGAGTGACCACTTCGGATGGCGCTGTGCAAATACTCAGCAGTGTAGAAGTAAGTCAGCAGCACTCAAAGTGCAAAAAGTAGTTGCTTTATTGAAGAATATCGTCATATAGGTTAGAATGCCAACGTTTCGGGGCCATGCAGGGTCCCTTCATCAGGGCATCACTGTGTCGCCCTGCTGAAGGGGACCCTGCATGGCCCCAAAACCTTGACATTCTAACCTATGTGATAGTTAAAGTGCAAGTAGTAGTTGCTTTTATTAAGTGCGGCAGACCTATCTCTACACTGCTTCGCCTGTCCGTAGAACACATGAACAAATTGAAATATCTGGTTTGCCTCTTTATATGTTGTACCATTCCTTTCTTTTTAGATTGCATCAATGCTATTCACATCTATAGCGAAGCTGACCCCAGAGGTATGAAGCACATTTTTTTTAAAACTAATCCATTCAAGGATTTAGGAATTGAGGTTGCAAGAGAACCAGTCACAATTGGGCTTATGCAAGAATCTGAATATTCGGTATTTAATAATTCATAGTTATACAGGCTTACTTGAGAAAGATTTATATTTCCCTGTTGTAGCTTTACTTACTTTGAGCCTGACACTTACTTGCCAAGTTTTCGAATTAAAGCATTTGCTCCCTGTCAGCTTCCTGACGCAAACGGCATAGGATCAGAGGGGATGTGTGAGGACAGGCTATAGGCAGGTCAGCAACTGTCAGATTTCAGGTGACTTCTGATCATCTTGATAGCCCCAAAAAGACCTATACTTTTCATCTGACTGGTATGTTTAATGGTACTCCTAAACATAAGATGTTTGATGCCTGTTCTCACCAATTACAGGTCAGAAAACAAACCTATGTGAGTGGGCTTATTGCAGACATTTCCTGGCCAGCTGATCTTTGGGGGTGGGGTAGGTCAATTGAGTAGCTTGGCTTTCCCAGTCGATTGCTCTGATTCTTCTGCAATAAGGCCAGATTCAGTAATTTTCTGTTCCGTGCATCCACATATGAATTTGGCATACAGAAACATGTTAGGGCTTTTCCCCATAGTTCTCCTTAGGGTAATGTGAGGACACAAACTAGCATCTTCCCGTCACTCTAGGCTCAGTATACCGCAAGCTGTAGCTCGTGGTATACTGAGACGCCGCAGTATACAGCGAGCTGCTGCTCGCGGTATACTGAGACGCCGCAGCTGAAGCGGATCCCGACAATTGTGCCGGGATCCGCCCAGCTGCGTGACTGACAGCTGGCTCTGCCTATCTAGAGGCAGAGCCAGCTGTACCCGCCCCCTCCCCCGTCCGTTCCGCCAGTCAGCGCTGGCGGATCGGGGAGGGGGGAATCCAGCCCCTCCCCTGTCACGGCAGAGAGCCGTGACAGGATCGAGAGGTGAGCGAACGCTGGTATGTGTTCGCTCACCTCCTGATCTACTGAGCCGACCTGTGACAGTCTCATTGTCACAGGTCGGCTAGAACTATGAGGTGAGTGAAAAGCACTCACCTCATAGTTCTCCTTTAGCCCTCGTTCACACCTGAACGTTTTGTAGCGCTTTCTACGCTCGACGAACGCTCTACAAAACGCTCAAAAATATAAATCCCATTGTATTCAATGGTCTTGTTCCCACTTTGGCGTATTTCCGCCCGTCCCTAACGCGCTACAAAACGGCCCACGCCTGAAAAGGTACAGGTACTACTTTGGGCCGTTTTGTTGCGCGTTTCCATTGAGATACAGCCAAGTAGCCTTCGGAAACGCGCGACGGTCGCGCAACTTTTTTACCGCGGATCGCGGTAAAAAACCGCGCGACGGACGCGCATATGCAATACGCCTAGGTGTGAACGAGACCTTAAGGATAAGGAGCTTTTCTTTCCACCATGTGACTAAAATTGTTAATCTCATTGGGCTCAGCTGAAGATAACTGTCACTTTTTTAAAAGTGTATTAGTTTTGCTAATTGAACCTATGGTATCCAATGTGTGGGGGAAACCATAGTCATAGTTTTCTACATTCTGAAATATATGACTTTGCAGTGTGTCAAAGATCCCATGTTGTTACTTGCTGGCTTTTCTAATTGTTATAGATCATTTAGAAACTGATGGTTTCTTGGCAATACTGTAATCACTGCATGCTTGCAGGAAGCCAAGACAGTGTCAAGAAAGTCATTTAAATCGTTTATAAATACTAATGTGACATTGGTTATTGCAGGCTGCTAATCCTTTCTTCAAACTGCTGACCATGATCATGGAGTTTTCTGGTGGGCCCCCTGGAATGCCTCCTTTTGCATCCTACATTTTGCAAAGAATATGGGAGGTAAATAATTTTATGTTAATAATCATTTCGATTCTTGGGACTTATAGTTGACTGAAGATGTATTCTAACTTGTTGCTGTACCTTTTTTTTTTTCTTTTCAGGTCATTGAGTATAACCCATCTCAGTGTTTAGATTGGCTGGCAGTGCAAACTCCTAGAAACAAGCTAGCACACAGCTGGGTCCTGCAGAATATGGAAAACTGGGTGGAGCGTTTCCTTTTGGCCCACAATTACCCCAGAGTGAGAACATGTAAGTTCCATTTACTCAATGCCTTTATTGTAACATTTTTTAATAAAGAACTTCAGGCAGATTTTTTTTTTTTTTTAATAAACATCTGCTGTGTAAAAACTCTTTTTTTGGTTCATTGAGGGACACCAGAAATCTTCGAATTTAGACTGTTATACTGTGGGTAATACTGCCGCCTACAGGAGAAATGCACACTGGCAGTAAAAAAGGCCAGTAGCCAGTAGAGTATAACCCTGCCCACAACCAGCATGTAGTAAAGTAGTACCAAGAGCATAAAAGAAACACTGAGATGAGGGACCTACGTCCTTCAATGGACTCCAAGAAAAAAGGCTTTATGGGAGTGCAAAATTCCTATTTTCTATAGTGTCCATTGAGGGATACAGGAATTCTCAGACTGTCAGGCTAGCCAAAAGCAGCCCCACAGAGTGACAGACAACCTAGCAAGAGAGGCTGACAGGCCCAAATAGACCGCAGAAAGCTGGGAACGGTCTACAGCTCAAAGAGCTGCATGAAGGACCTAATGCCTGAAGCTAGCATTATATGAGTCCTGAATATCCACCTGGTAAAACATAAGAAAAAAAAATAGAAGACCAGGTGGTAGCCTTGCAAACGGAAAGGTTGCATGATGCCGAAATGAACAAGAAGCTCTCACAAGTCTAGTAGAGTGTGCCTTTATAGGACACGCTGGAACCTGATCCTTAACACCATCAGTTTGGATGATGGTCTGCCTACGTCACATAGCGATGGGGAACCTTACCAGGTCCATCCAGAATACAAAAGGAATCTGTTCTTCTGAAAACGCAGAGGCTGAGAGATAGACTATCGCTGCCCTAACCACATTCAGACAATGGAGGGATAATTTCCATTTGGTGAACTAGAGCCAGACAGAGGGATGAGTTAAACAATATTCTGGTTAAGGTGAAAGGCAAAAAAATACCCAGAAAAGGAGGAAGTACTTGGTCTCAGCACCACCTTGTCACTATGCAAAAAATGGGGTATCTTGCAGGATAAGGCTGCCATTTCTGACACTTGCCTCATACAGGTGATGGCTACAAGAATCACCACCTTGTAGTTCAGAACAGAGAGGATTCTCTCTGTGCTTTAAAGATAATGGTGATGTGAACCCATCAGAGAGAACCAGATTCAGATCCCTTGGAGTCGCAGGGGGAACTACATGCGAGACTCCTATTACGAAGGTCCAAATCAAGTAGTGAGAAACCATCAGTCTGAACAAGATAATCCTGGCAGAAGTGCCTCAAAGTGTTTAGACCCAAACACTGGTCCAGAAAGAGCTGCAGGAACAACAGGATTTGTCCCACTGAGAGACTCCTAGGATGGAAGCCCCGAAATTCGCACCAAGTATTCCTTCCATGTCTGATGATAAAACTTTATAAGAAGTGTCTTTACTAGCTTTTTAGGAAAAACACATTCCTAGATGCATCCAACACAAAAAAACAAAGCTTTATCAGCCATGCTGTTAAAGCCAGCCATCATTAAGTAGGATGGCAAAATGATCCTGACGACTTGCACAGCCCACAGATCATCTGCCAGGAGTCTTGCCAGAACAGAGTACCACACCTCATAGCAGCATTGAACCCTGTCTTGCCACAGTGAGACATTTGATTTCTCCCTAATGGTTGATATATGCCACTGCCATATCATTGTCTGACTGTATCCAAATTGGATGACCTTTCAACAGAATGGTCAAGTACTGCAGAGTCCGCCAAATCAACTGAAAATCCTGGGTTTTCATCAAGAGACAAGACTCTGGTGAAAACCCCAGCCCAACAGGCTGTCAATCTTCCTAAGGTCACTATAGCAACACTCTTTCAGATTCAGACAAAATTTAGGGAAGAATCCCCAACACAGCATCAGTCTGCCACATTCACTCATGAAGACGAGTCCTCAGAGACACGGTCAGGTGAAAACTGCCTCAACTCTGGACTGGCCAATCTATAAGGAACTCTCAGACAAACTGGCCTAACCTGAATAGTGGAGTTCTGTGTGAACAGGAACATAAACGGTAGTCAATGCGGACTGCAGGCCTAACGCAGAGAGAATGCCAGTTTAGGCATTGAACTAGGAACCTGCTCTGCTTGTCTATATGGAGAGTTGTTCAGGGTTTCCATAACTTCCAGAAATTCAGGACCATCTCGCAGAGATGAGACTGGGAAAACCTCTTATTCTTAGCTAGCTGGAGGAACTATACAGGATTTTGTATTATCTGCCCTGAATCTACCAGCAGCTGGTGATAAGTCGGATAATATTTGTTGCTATAAAACAAAAAAGTTTCCTGGAGTTCTAGTTTAGGCCCAATTAAACTTCCATTTTAAATCCACCCAATTAATTCCAGGTGTGTCAAAACAAAAGGCTTGTCTGCCTTTCTTGTCTGTAGTAAAAAGCCTGAAACCTGCCAGTATACTGTAGAGAAGGACCCTTGCTGTGTTTCTGGAAGCTGTGATTTGACACTTTCCCTGCTGAGTCAGACCTTTAGCTCTACAATCAGAAAAGCTCCTTCTCCATGATAATTGGAGAGCTCTAGCTCTGACTCAGCAGAGGGTGTGTGGGACCTCTGCAGAGAGACACCTTACTTCCACATAGAGGGCAAGGGACCGTCTTTGCAGCATGCTGACAGGGCAAATGCATTTCTACTTGGGCTGTGGCTGCCTTCTAATAAACACAAAACTTTTCAGTTTGTGTCTTCATGCCCCTGGAATGTATTTAGCTGATTTAAACTGAAAGTAAAGTACAGTTTTATGGAAGTCACCTAGCACAGTTTATGCTGTACAACTATTTGAGGATCTGTCTTAATGCAAACAAATTGTGAAAATGTAATGATTACACTGAAATGTACTTGCATGTTTTCTTTATTAACCTATAAAAAGGGTTTGTTTTCTCCCTGGGGAAGGGGGGAAAGGGTTGAAAGAAATATTTTAAAGCCTATCTCTGGGTAGACTAGAGATTGTCTAGGAGAATAGAGTAAAACTGTTTTTACTTACCTCATCCCTGCTCCCCCCTCGGTCAGTGCTCTGTTCTTCTCCCCCCTCCTTGCCAGCTTTTGGAATGTCCCTCAGTGTCTTCGTGTCTTGTGCAGGTCTACTGATCCTGCATTAGATGTGATGTCAGCGGTCCTTAGACCGCTGGATCAAAGGGGAGAAGAGGTTGTGGGGACCAGTCCAGCAACCTTGAGAGAGCGTGGAGTGAAGATCAGGTAATTAAAAGTGTTTTACTCCAGTCCCCTAAACAGAAAAGAGGACTTAACCCTTGCAGTGCGGGGGTAGCTCCACTGCAGGGGTAGTTTTTTGGTTTGCCAACAAATGGATGTTAACATGATTTTCTTCAAAAGAAAATCTCTGGTTGCTCTAACACTCTCTTATAATGATAGAAGTTCTCATTTTTGCTTATACTTACCTTGGTGTTACTGTGTGCTGTCAGTTGGAATGTATTTGTGGGCAATCTAAAACTTTCACAACGTCTTTAGTTTCCAGGACTTTCAAAATAAAATAACTGCCTGCAAAGCTTTCCCCAGTCATCTTCCAGGACAGCCATCGAGATATAGGCTCCGCCTGCCTGCAACAGGAAACACATCAACCACATTAAATAAATAGACTCCTCCTTCCATCCCAAGTCAGTTTAAACTAATCCTTATTGTTTGTTACAGCTGCAGCCTACCTGTTGGTGTCACTAATACCAAGCAACTCCTTTCGTCAGATGTTTAGATCCACACGCTCTCTTCACATTCCCACACGAGACCTGCCCCTCAGCCCAGAAACCACAGTGGTACTACACCAGGTGTACAATGTCCTTTTGGGCCTCCTTTCCAGAGCGAAGCTCTATGTTGATGCTGCTGTGCATGGTACCACCAAGCTGGTGCCCTATTTTAGCTTCATGACTTATTGTTTGATTTCCAAAACTGAAAAACTTATGTTCTCCACATATTTCATGGACCTGTGGAACCTTTTCCAGCCAAAGTTGTCTGAGCCAGCCATAGCCACCAACCACAACAAGCAAGCGCTGCTTTCCTTTTGGTACAATGTCTGCGTTGACTGTCCGGAGAATGTGCGCCTTATTGTTCAGAACCCTGTAGTGACCAAGAATATTGCCTTTAACTATATCTTGGCGGATCACGATGACCAAGACGTGGTGCTCTTCAATCGTGGTATGTTGCCAGCTTATTACGGCATTCTTCGGATGTGCTGTGAACAGTCTCCTGCCTTCACTCGTCAACTTGCCTCACATCAGAACATTCAGTGGGCCTTTAAAAACCTTACGCCACATGCCAGCCAGTACCCTGCGGTAAGAGAGCAATGCTGAATGTTAATTATTGTGAAAGGAACATTAAGTACATAATGGAACTTTTGTATGCATAAATATGACACCAGTTATTTGATCTTAATGTAAAACAGCTTGGAAAAAAACTATGGAAAGAGCACAGTAAACCTTTTCAAGAAAGTGAGGGGAATTTATCAAACTGGAGCAGATGGAATCTGGAGACCAATCAGTTTCTTTCTTCAGTTTGTTCATTTAAGCTTTGCAAATGAAAGAGAGAAGCTGATTGGTCGCCATGGGCAACTGCTCCAGATTTTGCCTCCTCCAGTTTTTGTTTTTTTCAATTCTTTATTTTATTTTGAAATATTTAGTACAAAACAAAACAAAAAAAACATATGTCCAATGGACCAGGAACATGTACAGACCTTTATTTGGATACAGCAATGAAATACAAAGAAAACATCTTGTGAGTACCAGTGAAGGATGTTATGGTAGAGGTTCTGAGACACTTCGAGGGCCGGCTCAGGGTAGAGCAGGCTATGAGTATGCTGATTCAGGTAGTGTGGGTGTATCACACACCTCGGTTCCAAGTGATATAACCAGTGAATGAAGGCCTGCTCCAGTTTTGATAAATCCCCCTCAATGTGTTTAGGATACATGTATATTTAAAGTGGAAGTCATGGAAAACTTTTTTTAATCGGTAGCAATCCTTACCCCTAAATGTGCATTTTACATTATTGCTCTGCTACTAGCATAATGTATCAGGTACTAAATCTTTGCCAACAGGATAACCGTTCCTATGAGATATAGAGGTGTCACCACAATAAAATGGTAGCAATTCTGCAACTTCCATTCCACCACTGCTCAATGTGTTCACTGAACGTGGAACCCTCCAGTGAAACTGACTAACAGCACAGTACTTTCCTATGTCATGCCATATGAGCGTTTCAAAAGAAGGTGCACTCTTTTTTTTTTTTTTTTAAAGATGCTTTTTATTGAGTTTTCCAAGTGTCAGAGACACAATAAAATAACAAACAACCTACATACATACAGAAGAAGGTACACTCTTAGTGTCATTTGACTGCATCACGTGTTATCACCTTGCCCCTCTGCAGCAATCCATTTTTCTAATCTGCATCTTTTGAAGTTGGATGTAGATTAGCAGGGTCTTTTGACCTGTTTTTAGAAACTGCTTATTATGGAACTTTCACAAATTCTTTTATATTGTGTGTTTTGGAATGGATCTGTGATTTTATTAAAAGGACTGTCAGAGATTATAGAGGCTGTCCTTTCTGAGCAGCAATGGCAGCCCCACACTTTCTCATGACAATCACCTTACTATTGCTCACATTTTCTGATACTCACAGCATGCATGTTCCAAGTCTGTGACTCAGTGTATTGAATCCTGACACACCCATGCTGCCACCATTTTTAACCCTTTCGCTGCCAAGCCCTCCGGAACATTTTTCAAATCAGCTGGCCAAGCCATTTTTGAATTTTCTGCAATTTTTTCCTATTGATTTGATTTTCAACTGCTGCGTTGCTAGCGTTTGTAAAAGACCCCCCAAACCATATATTTTCTGAAAGCGCAGGCCCGGTAGAATAAAAAGATGGTGATACTAAATTTGTAGGCCCTGCGATAATTGCGCAAATGTTTCTCAAATTAATATTAAACCGATAAAAATACACAATTCAATTGTTAAAACACACCAAAATCAGTATCCGTGCACAAAAAAAAATATTTTAAGCAATGGTAGCCTCGGTCTCTCTTGACAGGGTCACTTTAAGTGCTTGTTATCTTTCACGAACAATGGGTGAACGCTTTCTTTTACTGAGGTTTGATTATGAAATGATTATTTCCTGATAACAATACTTTATTTTATAAGCTTGAGAAATATGTGCTGAGACTGTACTCAGATGAAAATTCACAGGGAAATTTCTTTGCTTGACAACTTTGTGTGGTGCAGTGGACATAACTGTCTTGAAACTGCTTACAGTTTATCTTTTTGATCAGTTGTCAGCTGAGGATCTATGTCTGTTTTATAGTCCAACTTTCACACATCCTCTGCTGAGTCAGAGCAAGAGCATTCCAATCAGCAAGGAGCATGAGCTTAGCTGATTGCAGTGTTTTAGGCCTGACACAGCAAAGGGTATGGAGAGAGACCACTTTTTTCACACAAAGACCAAGGGACCTTTTATTGCAGCATACTGGCTGGGGACAGGCTTTTCTACTCCAGCTGTAGCTGCTTCCTAGAGAAAACACACACATTGCTTTGTAACACCTGAAATGTATGTACACATCTGAATGATCAATTAGAGTTAGTTTATTGCAATCATAGAAAACATGTAAAGGAATTTTTGATTGAATATTATGTTTGCTTGTTCAGGCTGTAGAAGAGCTGTTCAATCTCATGCAGCTCTTTGTAGCTCAGAGACCAGACATGAGAGAGGAGGAGCTGGAAGATATCAAACAGTTTAAGAAAACTACCATAAGTTGTTACTTGCGTTGTTTAGATGGTCGCTCCTGCTGGACAACTTTAATAAGGTAAGATGCAGTGCACACACACAATAACCCCTTTTGCTGCTATCCCAATATTTCCCTGATGCAATGTGATTGGCTCTTCGTGTGACTTTATTGTTTTTTGGGTGTTGGTTAGGTAATTTAAGGTCAACGTGTGCTTTGGCAATATAGGGCAAAATACAACAGGTTCCCCAGCACATATTAACCTTTTCTTTGCTCCCCCACCACTTTGTTCTTTTCCTATTTTTCTTCTGGCTCCTAGGAAATCACTCACCTCATAGTTCTCCTTTTAAGCTAGAAAATCTGACCTCTGGTTTTGTAGAGAATGCCTCTTGCCCAATTCTCTGGACATCGCCCCAGGATTTTGGTCCATGAAATCTTAATGTCTGTGGAGTCAGAAGGACATGTTTTTTTTCTTCTTCACAGAGGCAAAATGGGCAGTAGGGCTTATCAAAGTGACTAGGAGGTGGTATCTGCACAATATGCTGCGGTTTACATCTGTGTAGGAGCGAGTTATAAAATGGAGAAAAAGTGCAGCTAAAGTAAGAAGCTGTCCAGGATGACCAATCGCATTCTTTCATTTTCTGAAGAATAAAGGATGAAATATGAATGCTTACCATAGGCAACTTCTCACTTTTTTTTCAAATTTTTCCCCACTTGCTTTTTGTGAGAATTACTTTAAAATGGGGTGAACTGTAACCGTGTAATTCTTATAAATGTGAAGAGTATATACAGGTGAAACTCGAATAATTAGAATATCGTGCAAAAGTAATTGCAGTAAGTGCTGCAAAAGGGGCCCAAACCAAGTACTGAGTACATATGCATGCTTGTACTTTTCAGAGGTCCGATATTGTTCTATGTACAATCCTTGTTTTATTGATTGCATGTAATAATCTACTTTTTTGAGGTTGTGAATTTGGGGTTTTCATGAGCTGTAAGCCATAATCATCACAATTATGACAAATCACGGCTTGAATTATCTTGCTTTGCATGTAATGAGTCTACCTCATATATTAGTTTCACCTTTTAAGTTGCATTAGTGAAATAAATGAACTTTGCACGATATTCTAATTATTCGAGTTTCACCTGTAGGTAAGTGAGGGCTGGAAGAAACCTATTTGTAAGTGATCTGACATGACTTTTCCTGTCTTGCAGTGCCTTTAGAATATTGTTGGAGTCTGACGAAGACAGACTTCTGGTTGTATTCAATAGAGGATTAATCTTAATGACTGAGGTAAGTTGTTTTCCTAGAAATGCAGTTGCTCTTAATATTTGGCTGTTTAATTATATTTATATGTTATAAATGTTCACTTTTGTTTTATGTTTATTTAGGCCCTTTTCATACCACAGCACTGTGCACTGCAACACACACTTTGACTTGCTTTACGGTGTGTTAAACAGCCCATTAAAAATTATTCTCCTGAAACGTACATAGAGAGCAGGCTACATTTTATCGCTGCGCATAGCACAGGACAACATGCGTTGTCTTGCTGCATTGCAGCATATATGTGTTCGATATAGATGTGAAAATCCCACATAGGCTGATGACCTTCCTCTTACTGTCCATTGGGGTTGCAGTTCCTGTCCTATGTATGGGCTGTAGCCCTGCATTAGATGTTCTTTAAAGTGTGTGTATAATCAAAGTAAAAAAAGAACAAAATCCCTGTCAACTTCTTGTTGCAATCTGTATCCCCCACTACGTAATTCCCCCCTCTGTATGTGTCCTGGAGACCACTGTCACAAAGATGGAAAGTTATGGGGATTTACAACATTTTACAGTGGTCACCAAATCAAAAGATGAGTAAAGATGACATAAATTATAAAAAGGTTCCCTGCCACATCCACCTCAATGTTCAATTTAACGGGATGGTGTCTTATTGAATTCAGACACTGGGCATTCAGCACACTCACAAATGTTATTTAAACAAAAGTAGGAAAAAGGAGAACCCTGTGCCGCAGTCACATCAATACTCTTATGGAACGTATAATTCTCACTCAATTGCAAAAAAAACATATTTTTTCATACAAAATCCTTTCCCCTCATCATTACTAAGCAAGTAAAAGCTTGATCTGTCTCTTGTTCTGGGTACCCCACAAAATTCAGGCCCTTTTTAAAACTTGCCGTAAAGGATATAGGGAAGCATCATAATACAATGCAAAAAAACATGACATACAGAACGGCAGCATCAAATATCAGACAATTCTCAATTTACACGGGGTCTCTCCCTAGTAGGATACAAACCACAGTGCTCAGTTATATTATAGTTGGAGCACGATCCTCATTGATGATATGATTCTCAATAGAAAGGAGATATTACTTCTTGCACATCCCATATGTGAATATTTACAAAGATACTGCATATATATTTAGCCATGGGAGGATTTCTACTGTGAATCATATCAATAAGGATTATGCTCTAGCGATGATAACTGATATATTGATGAATGTTGAGCATTGTGGACTTTATTCTACTTGGGGCAGATCTGGTTTAAATTGAGAGCTCTTTGCTCCTGTATGCATGTTCTTTGCTTGTTCTGTATGCCTTTAATGTCACTTTAAATCATATCTTGACTTTTACTACCCCAGCAGATGTTGAGTTGCATGTCTGTGATATTTAAAGACTTCATATTTTGTATTCCTTTTATTAATTGTTGCTATTCCTGATCAAGCCAGTAGTATGTAACTAGAACTATCTTTGTGTCTGCAGTCTTTTAACACTTTGCATATGATGTACCATGAAGCCACAGCCTGCCATGTGACTGGAGACTTAGTGGAGCTTTTGTCCATATTCCTGTCTGTCCTCAAGTCCACACGTCCTTATCTACAGAGAAAAGGTGGGACAGCATGCTCCTGAACATTATATACTATCTGTGGGAGGGTATTGTATCAAATATGGTATATGTATAATCCTATTTGATGCGGCATATGTCAGGGTGAGCACATACAGCTTGTTTTAATGTTAACCACAGCTTCTGATTTCTTTTGTTTTCACAGATGTTAAGCAGGCCCTGATTCAGTGGCAGGAACGAATTGAATTTGCTCACAAACTCTTAACCTTGTTAAATTCGTACAGTCCTCCAGAACTGCGAAATGCTTGTATAGGTAACTTATTACGCTTTTAGATTTCAAACTGTAAACTGATCCTAAGGTCAGATCCAAAGGAGGGAGGGGAGTTGCATTTAACAGTAGATAACTGTTGACAGGTTTTTATGTTTCATGACAGGTTTGACTTCTCTAAATGTTATATGAAAGTTTACAAAGTCTTTAAGACCATGGGGACAGATGTTTGGGGTTTTTTTTTTTCATCATATAACTCATGTGACCAGCAACTTAATTAAGTGGGGGGCATTTTTCAGTTCTGTCGAATGGCAAAGTAATGCTAAATGGGGGCAGTGAGTCAGATTTATTTCAAGTCCAAATTCCAGTGCAGCCATCGCACTCCTGACCGAATAATACCCTTAGAGTCGGGTGGGTGCCAAAGTGACTGCAGATGCCTCTACAATCCAAGATAAGTATATGTATAAAGTCACTTGCACGCCAATAGAATTTCAACTCAAAAGCAGTTTATTGACTCGATTGCTATCCCATCATATAGCGACGTTTCGGAACAACAGCGATTCCTTCTTCAGGCAAACAGAATGTTGTTCGGGGGGTGGGGGGTGGGGGGGTGCGGACAAGGGAGTGCTGTCATATCGGATGGCCAGCGGTGAGGGGGAGAGAAGCTGCCCCCAGGACGAGCTGTGTCGGCCGCACGGCGCCCTTGTTGCCGCACACCCCTAAGGCCGGCCCTGGGAACAACATTCTGTTTGCCTGAAGAAGGAATCGCTGTTGTTCCGAAACGTCGCTATATGATGTGATAGCAATCGAGTCAATAAACTGCTTTTGAGTTGAAATTCTATTGGCGTGCAAGTGACTTTATACATAGATGTGTTACAAGGTGTTACAGCTTGAGTCATAAATTGCTTCCTCATCTGCCGTAAAGTAGCATTGTAACAGAATTAAACCTAACCCTGACCACTTCATAACTATACGTCTGTTTACACTGAAAATCTGATGTGTCTTTAGTGATGTGCCTGTCTTTAAACTTTAAAAACGGTCGCACTTGACTGTGGTTGTCCTTGATGGACCCTGTTTATATACTCTTATGCCCATTTTTTTAAATGTATGTTCATGTGCAAGTTCCTGTCTCCTATTTAGTAGGTAAAGTGGTTTCTTGCATGTATGTGCAATTCCTCCGGGCATTTCAATGTATAATGTTGTAGTGCTCGTTTCACAGCTCAGTTGAAATGGTAACAGATGTCAGATAGAAGTGGCCCGTGTTTTTCATGTCTTTCTATTTTAACATTGTACATGTGTAATTGTGTGCACTTTTCACAGAATTGTAACTGGCTGCTTCTCTGTTCTTTTTCTAGATGTCCTAAAAGAACTTGTGCTGTTGAGTCCTCATGATTTTTTGCACACACTTGTTCCATTTTTACAGCACAATCATTGTACATACCATCATAGCAACATCCCAAGTAAGTTCCTTTTTTCTACCGCATTTGGTATTCGTGTCTGAAAATCTATTCATATTGGTGCAAGATTGAGCTAGATTTTAAAAGTCAAAATACAAATGAACGTGTATCACACTCGAGCTAGTTCTTTTAAACCTTGACACAGAAAAAAATCTAATTCAAGGCTGATAAGCCAATACCTATTTTAATATTTGAAAATATTTTTTAATGAAATAGTTTTAACTCCATCAATATCTGATTGTATCCAAGAAATTAACAATTTAGAAAAAAAAGGGATTAAACCATTTTAATCTCAAAAATATTATCCTCTTGGAAGCCATGGAAGATTAGTATTTTTGATCTGGTCTTGTTGAAGGGCTGGAAAATAAAATGGCATCTTTATTGCTCAATTAGAACAGCCGGCGTGCGCCCAAAAAATGCTGCACAATAAATATGACCAGTTCTACCACCATGTGTCAAAGTAAACATACTTCTATTTCTAAGTGCAGTATAACCAGACATTCCATTATAGTTCCCTTTCCCATGTACTGTCTGCCACATAGAATTGCTAGTTATCATCATGCCCTTATTGGAAATGTGATTCAATTGTATTTAGAATCCTATGCCTTTGACAATCTACAGTCTAAGCAATAGTATGGTCCAGTGCCACTGAATACCCTTATAAGACATACCAAGTTTATAACCTGAGGTTTTTTGTGAAAGTCATTGACTGTTTTTAGGTTATATGCTCGTATCCACTTTTCGCTCTACAAGTAAAGATGGGTCCCACCCCCTGAACCTTTGCTCCTTTAATGTGATGAGCAGGCTCAACACTTGGAGAGGTTTTGGATGTAATAGGTGGTGGCTGTTTTGAAATGCAGAACGATAACCTCGAAATTAATTTCTTTCTCCTACATTAAGGGACACAAGCATTTAAATACTGTTTGAATATACTGCTGACTCCAGGAGGGTTTGGACACTGGCAAACAAAGGGGCCAGTCTGGTATAACCCCTCATACTCAGAGCATGTTTTCCTAGGAGGATGGATGCCTTTTCTCTGTTTTGCTGAGAAAAGTCTAAACTTTTTGCAAGATATTTCTTTCCTTTAGGGCCTGTTCACACGACGTCCGTTTTGTGTGCTGACCGGCTCCCTATGCTGCTGCACTCAAAATGCATCCCAATGTATCCGTATGTGTTTTATGGGCTCCAGTTCTCACGTGCGCAGTCCGTTCAGCTTACGACAGAAAAAATACTGCATGTCACATTTTGTCAGGTCCGGATACGCAAACGCGTCAAAAACGCACTGCGCTGCAGCTAACATACTAACAGCCCCACTCCAGCATCGAGTGGAGTGGGGCGCATCAAAAACGCGACCAATACGCGGCCAAAAACGCAATGCATCAGCAGCTCCACTTTTGCTGATCAGGACCTGATCTCATGTGAACAGGCCCTTAATGAAGATTACTCTACAAGCTGTTGAGCTACTCTGTTTACTCTATCAAGATCGGCAGCTCCTTAGCACTAGCTTTGGAGGCCATACTCTGGACCCCACTGGACTTGGACAATTGCGGAGCTAGCCTAGAGTGTAACCTTCAGGAGCTAAGCTCTGCATTTTGGTGCTCTCCAAACCTGCATAATTTGTGTTAGAACTGATCACTTTCCTTGTCCAGAACTGTGGCACAAGCCCAGAGACTGACTGTTTGAGTAGGCCATGTTGATTGAGCATCTGGAGATACCTTGTTGCTTGCCTCCAGCTCATGCTCCAACCGTTCCAGTGCTGCCGCAGTGCACCCCTGGAAGGGCCTGACACTGTGGAAGGGATAGACTCAAGCAGAAGGGGAAATTCCAGGCTGTCACAGTCAACCTTAGTTCTGCCGGACATGGACCTCTCCTCCTCGCCCTGATTTTATGGGCCAAATTGCAACTTTGCTGACTCTGACTGCAGAGGCCATAAGCATGCTTCTACCCCATGCATCAGCCACCAAGACTCACATGCTGAGTCACTTAAATCCTTAATGAACCATGCTACACCTGAGGAGTTGCAGGCCGCTGCCATTACTCCCACACTTAGAGACTGTATTTGCTCTTAGTTATGCAGTTTACCACTTTAAAATACCAAGGATCAGCCTACTCCTTCTACCAGTGCTGTTCCCAGCCGAGGCTGTTTTAGGGTCCCCAAGATTTTAGACTTTCCTGTGGTCTTCTACATAGACTAAAAGAACCCAGGCATTGTATTCACCCCCTCTCAAGCTCCTATAAGTGCTGGACTTGGCAGATTGCAGGGCTAGTCTGGAATGTAACCTTTAGGCACTGAGCTCTACCTTTTTGCACTTCCCATACCGGAGTATACTGTATTAGCACTGATCACTTTATGGGTGCAGTAACATGGCACAGCCCCAGGTGTGGCCCTGTCTCCAAATACTGACTCTGTGAGTAGGTCATGTGGGCCAAACATTGGCAGCTACCTCATTACTTGGGTCTCTGGGTACTGTTTGAGATCCCCACTTTCCAAAGGTTTACCGGGGAAGAAGTTCAGGTTGAGGGACTCATTAGTTGCCAACCCCTCAGTTGGATTGATTTTGGATGTACCAACAATCTATTAATTCCTGCGTCCCTCAGTGAACAAGATGATGGAATTTTTGTACTCCATTAGCTTTGTGTTATTCAGGGACACAGGTCCCACCCCTCTTTTTCTATGATCATGCTCATGGTACTACTTTTCAATCAAATTGAGGCATGCTGGGAGTAGGAGGGCTATACTGGGCTTGCCATTTTATTTTTTGTTTGTTTGCCAGTGTCCTAATCCTCCCGTAGACAGCAGTATAACCCAATAGTCTCTGAATCCCTGTGTCCTTCAATGCATTCCAAAAAAGGATTTTACAGTAAATACTAAAATCCCATTTCTTTTTTCTTATGACTAGTTTGAGTTGTTCAGATTTGTTTTTTTGTTTTGTTTTTTAATTATTGTGTTCTATTTTTCAGTGTCTCTTGGTCCATACTTCCCATGTCGTGAAAACATGAAACTTATTGGAGGAAAAAGCAATATTCGCCCCCCTCGTCCAGAGCTTAATATGTGCCTCTTGCCCACAATGGTTGAATCAAGCAAGGTGGGTATATATAAACCAGCACACAACCTCCCCTGATGGCTGCCATGGAACATTAAAAGTAATTAAAAATGTGTATGTATCCAGTCTCTCAAGTAAAGCTGGACTGTGTACTATTCAGTAGAGTAAAGCTTAGACCCACAAAAACAACTACTTTGAGATGTACCATTGTAGGCAGTCATGGGTAAATATAGAGCACGGTGCTTCTCTCATTGTAAAGCAAATATGTCATGACCAATGTGCAGACTACCACTGCTGACCTACTAAAAATACTAGTTACCTGGCCTTTAATGTTGACCCGCTGGTCGCAGTTCTGTTATAATCACTGACCTGGGACAAGTATGCATATGAGCAAAGTCAAAGATAAACTCCATATTTGCATATTTTTTTAGGTCAGTGCTTCAAAATATTAAAGCAAAGAGGGTTAGCCGGACTACTATACAACTAGCATTTTAAGGAGTTGAAGTCGGCAATGTCACGTCATTATTTCTCTGCTCGTAAATGTGCAGCTCAGTGCTGATAGGTTTGGGGCTTTGGTAATGGCAGATTGTATTAAAACTTCTTAATTTTTGAAGTGATGCATCACTCTTTAAAGTAGGTGTAAAGAAGAATAAACCAAGAACATGTCACTAGAATTAAGAGGCAGAAAAAGTTTGCAGTAGCATGAAAAACATCTTTGTCATTGTAGAAATATATAGAGGCTGTCCAATACTGTATGATTTAAACACATAATTGACATGTACCTTACCTACATTGGTTCACACTCTGAAACCAGTTTTTCCTAGACTCTACCTTCCCTTTTCTTTCTTCCATCATTTGGCAATCCTCACATTTTCTTCTGCCTGCCTCTCACAAGCCCAGCTGTTACTTCTGCCTGTCACCGGCTACTCTCCTTCTCCAAACCTTTTCCAAGCCTCCCCCATATCTTCTTCCTCTAACATCACACCTTTCTAAGCATGACGCATTCCAACAACAATGTTCATGATACATTCAATGTTCTTTACCGATTAACTCTGTTTAAATATTGCTCTCTTGCCTTTTTAGGGTAAAGATGATGTGTATGACCGCATGCTGCTAGATTACCTGTCTTCATATCACCAGTTTATCCATCTCCTTTGCCGTGTTGCAATCAATTGTGAGAAGTTTACTGAAGCTTTGATAAAGCTGAGTAAGTAAATGTCATAAAATAGGCCGATCGTCAGAGTTTAAGTGGGTGATACAAATATGGGGTATTTTCTGTAATATGTATTTCTTGTTGGCATTACCAGAGTATTGTCTGTTCGTGTGAGCTGTTGTCTGAATTTATGTTCAGTTCACTGTACTAAATTTTCACATTTGCACAATTGCGCTGCACATGTTGCATATCACCGTGAATGTCGGAGTGCAAGCAATAATTGTAGGCCGTTAATCACTGAAATCTCTAAACTGATGAGCGATAAAAGCATTTAAAGCGTCGCCTATGTCCAATTTTGGGTATTGACATGTTTGGTGTCTATTTACCCGACGTATTGATGTATCTTGCTGCACTCCTTACCGGATGAAATGAAAACCTGTCTGATCCAGGTGGGTGCTTGCAATGACCACGGATGGCACTGTGCAATATCATGAAGTCCAAGAACGTCACCAGCACTCCAGTATAAACGTGAATGAAGATAAATTTAATGACACACGTGTCACAATTTATCTTCATGATATTTACCCGACGTGCCCCCGTCTTTTATATTTTATAAAAAAATTAGGTAATAAATGTTTCAGAACTTAATATAGGGGAAAGTTTGTTTGTGGTTTTTTTTCTCTCAAAATGTTCGGTAATTTTTTCCTTTTTAATATAGTAAAAAAACAAAACCCAGTGGTGATTAAATACCAACAAGAGAAAGCTCTAGGTGTCCCCAAAAAATGGTATAAAATTCATTTCAGTACAGCGTTGCATGACGGAATAAATGTCAGTCAAAGTACCGCAGCGCTGAATACTGAAAAATGGTTTAACACCTCCGTCTTGAAGTGGTTAATTTACTGTAAAATACAGTAGTTCAGCTTCAAGAGTTGGGGCTCCACTGTCCCTGGTTGGCGGAACCCTTACAGTGTATGAGAGGGTCATTTGGAAAGCAAATAAGCTATTCACCATTAACTTAATATGTTATGCTCTACCTACAAGTTACTGTTCATCTTGGATGGTGTAAGCCCACAAAATATTTTCAGTGTTTTACCTTCTGAATGCTTTACAGGTATCCTGATTGCATATGAAGGGCTCTCGTTACATCTTGCATTGTTTCCTAAACTCTGGACGGAATTATGCCAAACACAGGTATGTTGAAGCATTGTATAAACAAGCAAGTCATCAGTGAATAGGCATTTTATGAAGGCAAATGCTTTACATCATATAGTGTAAGAAACTGTGAAGCAATAATGCTTCATTTTTATTTCTGTGACAAGTGAGACTTTGGCACGGTGTCTTCATTAAGGAAATTTCATTTTGCTATCTAAAGGTGCCCACACACCTTGCGATAATCGTACGATAATCGCGGGAAATCCCGCGATCATACGATTATCGCAAGGTGTGTGGCATGCGTGCGACCTCTGCTACTGTACGATCGCACGACTTTTATCTTCGCAACATGTTCGAAAACCCGCTGAGAATCGTACGATTGTCGGCGGGTGTGTGGCATGGTCGTAAGATAAATGCCGCACGGGCCGGTGTGCGCAAGCGCACACTGCCCGTTCAGCATTGCGGTCATCAGAAGCCCGCCCCTCAGCGGGGCAGGCTTGCGATCATCGCAAGTACGATCTGCCTGTCCAAGTTAGGCAGATCGTACGCTTTTTTAAATTGCCTTACAACCATCGCAAGACAAAAGTCTTGCGATGGTTGTAAGGTGTGTGCCCAGCATTAAGCTGCCCATACACCTTACAATTATCTGCAGACTTTCTGTGGTCAGATGGAAAAGGTGCAACAGATTCCTCCATCTACACTTGACTGTGTGGATGGAGTAATCTCCACCTGGGCCAATCAGTTGCACTTTTTCCATCTGACCACAGAAAATCTGCAGATAATTGTAAGGTGTATGGGCACCTTTTCAGTAGCTGCACATAGAGGCTCTTTATTGCTCCCTCTCTCCTATTACAGCTCCCTCAAATTCCCTAAGTAGCAGGTGTGAGAATTCAGACATGAAATCACACTTTAAAAGGGAAATTTGGGTACTTCCACAGTCTACCTGGATATAGTCCCTTTCCTAATTGGTTAGATTTATATTCTTTTCTCTTGGCTGAGGTTAGTCCAGAGAAAAAAATAATAATTCCAACCAGTGGGGAAAGGAGGGATGAAGAAGAGAAGAAGTAACATCTACAGCTGCCAGCTAGGTATTGCTAGAGATCTGTGGTATGAGAAAAGGTGTAATGAAGCACTTAACACAGCCTTTGTGCAGAGGTTTTGTTAGATGGCATAGCAAGGGGGGTGTCATGGTTTTACTTTCAAATACAGATCACTACCTACATGCATGCATGCATGCATGCATACATACATACATACATACATACATACATACATACAGTGATCTTTTATCTGCTTTGTGCTACACAGGTGGTTAAGCATAGGGTTATAAGTCCTGCCCATAGCAGGTAGTGGTAACACAACGAGGAGATGGTTTGTAGGGATAACAGTTATGGAAACATTTGGGACCCCCTGAAATACACTGCATAGGACTTTAGAAATTACAATTGTTAATTTGTTTCTTTATCTCTGTATCTCTTATAATGCAGACTTCGCTGGCAAAGAACTGCATCAAGTTGCTGTGTGAAGATCCTGTTTTTGCAGAATATATTAAAAGTATTTTAGTGGATGAACGTGTTTTCATCAACAACAATGTGGTGTACACGTTCCTCACCCATTTCTTGGTAAAGGTATGTATGAAAAGTGTCCGTTGTAGGATAATGGGTCACCTTGTTATAAACATTTTTTTACACTCATCTATTTCCCCCCCCCCCAGGTTCAAAATCAGGTCTTCTCAGAAACCAACTGTGCAAGCCTCATTAACACCATTATTACACATGTCATCAATCAGTATCAAAATGTGGAGTCTGACTTTATCAGCAGGATTGAAATTTCCAAAGCAAGCAGCACTTTAAATGGGGTAAGGCTGTAACACGGTTTCATTAGCTGTTTTTTTGTTGTTCCTCAATTAAAGGGTAAGACTTTTTTCCATACTTTTCAGGAGTAGCTCCTATCTGAAGGGGTCATAGTCTGTTCCCAAGGGGGGGCGGCGGTGTGCATTTGTCCCATTCTTCTGAATTTAACCCTTTCACTACCTTTGTCGTATGTCACAGCAGACTCCTGTAAATGGACTCCCAGCGTCATCTTTACAATGGAAGCGATTTTAGGCAGCTGTAAAACCGCCCGATCACTCCCAGGGGCCGGTAAACAATCCCCCCCCCATTCCAACGCAGCAATCCCCCACTTTGTTTTGGGGGCATCACGGGTGTCAGTGGGGACAGAGGCCAGCTAATTCATTTGCTGACTTTCTCCCCACTGAATGAAACCAGAAATGATGTTCATTACGTCACTTCTGGTTTCTCGCTGTCATTTCCCCATGAGAGAAGCAAGGGAAGAAGCTGATCAAGCACGATCTGTTCTTTGGGCCTTGTGCCTGGTTCTTTGACACATTGATCAAGTTTTACCAAGTTCAACTGATGCCAACTCTGGTCGGAAGGTTCTTCAGATGGCTTTGTGAGCTCTACTCAAGACCTTCTGTTAACCTGTTGCTCATGTGGGCCTGTTAACACTTATTTGCTGTGCTGCCTAACCCTCAGTAGGCCTGCTTTTAGATGTCCCTAGCTACCTGAAATGTTCATCTTGTGTCCCTTAGGGCTTGTTCACACCATATACAGTGTGTCCCCGAGCAGGCAGCAGCTGGAACACACTATATCGCATCCCGGCCGGCTTCCTGCATTCAGGGGTGTGGCACTGCATTGAAGTCAATGGCACGGCGACCATGCCCCCCGCCCGCACCAGAAGGCGTGACACATCAGTGCCTGCGTTCCAGTCCAGTGCCATCTGAAAATCTGGAGCTTGGGTTATACTGGGCTGTCCATAAAGCTTTGCTTGCCGTGTCCAATCTCCTAAAGGCAGTAGCATAACCCTTTATACCTGAATTATTCATCCTGTGTCCCTTAATGTACTCCAAGGGCACAGTGTTTTTTTTTCCCCTGCAAGCAGAAAGGGTCAGAAGCTTGACCATAAGCATTATCTCAAAGTATAGTTATACATTTCTATAAACCAAGCTTGGATTCCACCATTGTCCATTCTATTAACTGCATGTACCTGAACAGATCAGCATGCTGATCTAATGCTGCAACCTACGTTTGGCTGGGTGGTCCAGTTCTCCTTTTGAGTCAATGGCACTTAGCATGGCTTTTGCTGTAAAGCATAATGATAGACCATCTCCTGGCAAGCCTACAAGGAGATGAGTTTTCTACTTTACTCTGTGACAAAGATTCGGAATGGCAACTTATGTATCCTTACAGGCATAAAGACGACTGTGAAGTGGTCTTGGTGTTTTAATCTTTTTTTTTTTTCCTCTTTAAGATATTTACCACGGGGTATATGGCTTTTCTGTAATGTGGTGGCTCTTACTTTGCTATTAATATGTGAAGAATGTCATAAGTAACTGAAAGTTTAACATATGAGCCCTTACATTGCCAGTGACAGTTGTGCTCCCTCTGCAGGAATGTTGTATTGTTATAATAGCTTCTTCCCTTTCACCTTCTGCGTTTTAGGATCTCAGAGCGTTGACTCTACTCCTTTCAGTTCACACTCCAAAACAGATGAACCCAGCCTTAATACCAACCTTACAAGATCTCTTGAGCAAATGTAGAGCCTGCCAGCAGCAAAGAAATTCATTACAAGAGCAAGAATCCAAAGAAGGTAAAACAAAAGGTCAGTAATGAAGTATGACTTTCTCCTGGTAGCTGAGGACTGTGACCTTCACAGGTTTGTGCTGCACTCGCATATAACGTTCACTTTCCAGATTACCAGCGAGAGAGACAGAATCTCACCTTCTTTTTATGAGTGCTGCTCTTCCAGACATGACTAATATAATTCTACAACAGTGGTTCAAACTGCTCCGGAACCAAGAAGCCAGCATACTTAACACTGACCTCCAGGCAGAAATACAAAAAGCAAATTAATACAGTTATCTATTTACTAAAAAAGTAAGTTTTTCTAAAGTCAACTAGTGTAAGGACCTGTATCTGACTTAGTTTCAGCCTTATGTAATGTCCTGTGCAGTGAAATACAGACTAGGAGTTGGGGAGGCCACATTCGGGGGCAATCTGAATGCTCATGTAAACAGGCAATATGCTATATTAAGGCCCCATTCACACCTATGCGTATTGTAATATGCGCGTCTGTCGCGCGACCGTCACGCGTTTTTTTTACCACGATTCGCGGTAGAAAAGTTGCGCGACCGTCGCGCGATTCCAAAGGCTACTTGGCAGTATACAAATGGAAAACGCCCTACAAAACGGACCAATACGCAGCAAAAAACGCTCCGGGACCTTTTCATGCGTGGGCCGTTTTGTAGTGCGTTCGGGACGGGCGGAAATACGGACAGGTGGGAACGATACCATTGACTACAATGCTATTTATTTTTTGGACCGTTTTGTAGAGCGTTCATCGAGCGTAGGACGCGCTACAAAACGGTCAGGTGTGAATGGGGCCTAAGGAGTGAGCAGAGGGATGACTTCATCAGTCTATTGCTCCTTCATTGTCCAGTCAGAAGCTGGGAGCAGGATGATGACCCCCTACTGTGCTGCCTAACTACAGCACAGACAAGTCAGTCACCAACTTAGATCTCCTGTCTGTCAGGGCTGTGTACATCCCAGGACTGGATGGACAGCATATAAATTATTTGGCAGATGAAAGCTCTTTCATGTCAGTATTTCAGCGTTGTTGGTTGTACTACACATTTTGCTTCAGTTTACATTCTTTTTTTTTTTAATGCCAGGCATTAAAAACCATGAAGAATACATTTTCTGTAAAGTGAAGGAAAAAATCCAATACATACATGGAAATGCATAGAAGCTATTCCATGTGCTCTTATAGACTTCTATTAACTCCAATACACAGACACAGCCAGCAGTAAGAGGGGTTTGGATTAAAGAAAAAAAAATGCATGAGGGTGCTAGATCTCGATAAGTATACATCTGTGGAGGGGGAGGTGAGTTCTGTGATGTCAGCGGAGGGGGGCATAAAGAATAAGTGTGCTTTCTCTGAAGGTGCAGTTATTCTCTAAGGCCTTGTTCACACTAGCTTCAGCTTCTATAAGAGCAGTATGTACAGCAAGCTTCACGCAGCTTTGTTGAAGGCATTAAAGAACTCTGCAGTTCCAGTTTGAAAATGTTAACCACGGACCTTAATAAGAGTACGGACTGTCACTTTAACCACCTTGGACAAAGTTGCCTATGGATAAATTTGCGTTGGACAATTTTGTTTTTTTGCTATTTCACGGGCATGTGCAAATTTACAGCTTGAAATGTTTACTGTTTCCCCGATACAACTCCAGCTTTTATATTTTACTGGGAAAATGAGTATTATGTTGTGTTTGTGTGCACTCAAATGAACTTTAGTGTATTTTTTCCTACAAATATCAATTTGATCAATTGCACAAATATCGTACAACTTAAAAAAAATGAAACTAGAAATGTTTTTATTCTGCAGGGCCTCTGCTGTCAGAAACGATATCAATGTTTGGGGACTTTCAGCAGTTTTCTAGCCAAAAATTCCGATTTTAAACATGTTCTCTGGATGCGATTAAACTAGCAGGACTGAGTGGTGCTTTAACCCTTTCACTAACATGAATGTAAGGCCTATGTGGGAACAGAGCTACTTCCAGCTGGTCGGCTCAGGGATACTTATGTCTATGGCAGTCCTAGAGGCTGGAAATGTATGGTTGCTAGCCACTGATTGCATCCATTCACTACACAAGCACCACTCTCCCAGCCACTGCGGCTGCTTGCCAGAATGTAAAGAAACCCACAACGGCCAACAATTGGCTGCATTGGAGATCATAGCGAACATTATGAATGGATGTGATCACATCTATTAATACAGTTATCTGTGATCTCCGGAGAGCTGGCAGTGGTGAGGAGGAGGAGCAGGCAGATAATAAACATTACAATATAATGTTCTCCATCTTCTGTAATGTAGTACTACTAAATGTGTAAATGCAACACTGGAGCAGACAGAATCTGGAGCAGTTTGGTGGTCATTTGTACTTGATAACGATGTGGCCAACTTTAGGGATCTTCATTTACATGCTGACTGCTGAGAATTTCAATCGGTTGCAGATTCCCTTTTGATCCTTTCACTACCAGACCAAATTTTGCACTTCTCACACATATTCAACATTATTAATAACCCGCAAAAAAACATTTTTCTGAAAGAGAATAAAATGATGTTAGTTGCAGATTTTTATGTTGCATGACATTTGAGGTTCATCAAAATCACTAATTGTGCTCAAGAAATCAAAATATAATTCCCAATTTTTTGTAAAATAGAAGAGGCGACTGTTGCCTATATGGATGCCAGATATGTCAAGGCTTGAAACTGTTTTCGCCTGTCAAACAGAACTACGATCTCCTAAATTGTCTGTCAGGCGACGTTTTAAATATGTTTTACATTTCATCTGTTGAATTAACGGCTAATGATGGCCTACCTAATATGTTTTATGCATTTGACGCTTTCATATACGAACATAAGTGCGTGCATGCATTCATTTAGTTTAAAGCAGCTGGTCAGTGCTTGGCAGCCGTTAACCCAGAAGTGCTCAGAGCCAATGTTGAATGCACAGGAGGAGGATCAGAGAACAGATGTTTCTATACAGTACATTTCATACATTATAGCAGACTTGTCTTCAGATTCTTCCTTGCTCTTAGGATACACTAACCTCTGACAGGCTGCTTAGTGCAATGGTCTGCCTGTTACTCAGAGTGGTAAAAAGTCAAAACCTGAAGCATGACATCTCTGCTGACTTGCTGGCCTAGGGTATGAGATGTAACTGTGCAGCAATCCTAAGGCCCCGTTCCCACTGCGCGATATGCAAATCGCGCATTTGTCGCGCGATTTGCATATTGCGAGATTTGCCACGCGACATCGCGTTCAAGCTTGCATTGAGCAAGCTTGAATCGCGGCTAACTCCGCTCCAAAAAGGGTCCTGCTGTAGCGACACACGACCCGCGACAGCAGGACCCTTTGCCCCATTGAAATGCATTGGAGCGCGATATCGCACGGTAATTTGCCGCGATATCGCGGGAATTACCGCGCGATAAATCGCTCAATGTGAACGGGGCTTTAGTGTAGTGCTAGCTTTGTGAAGACTTCTCAGGAAATTATCTAGCCAATCACACGTGGGCAGGTATTTTGTTAAGGGAAGTTAAGCTTATTTGGGGGGGGGGGGCCAACATTT